CTTTGTTGCCTTGGTCTCTGATTCTTACCCACAGGCTTTTGACCTACTTGTGTCTGTTCTTCAGAGACAGCTCTTCACACTCAAACCACTTCTTGATGTAGAGAGCAGCCCCTCTGCCTCTCCTTCCTCCCCTATCTCTTCTGAGCAGCCTATAGCCATTGATAGTCTCACTCCAGTCATGTCCCATCAAGTTTCAGTTGTGGCAAGAAGGTCATAGCTTTCTAGCAGCACAGTGGCTTCCAACTCCTGTTTGTTACCTGCGCTGTGTGGATTGAATGAGCTATGTCAAGCAGGTTGAATACACAGAGAGTGAGTTCAGAAATACTAATAATCATGATACAAAACAAGGCAAAGCCATTGCGTATCATTCTATTTTAAGGGCTCATCTGGTAACCACTCTTTGTAATTGTCTTCCACATTGTTCAGATCATACACTGGATGAAAAATTACTTTTGTAGACCTCTTGCAGCAACTGGAAATGATACAAGCATGGTACTAAATGCGTTTTTTAATACTAATAATGAAATGCAGCACTGTTAAGACACCCAACAAATTCAAAGAATATGCTCTATTTCTAAATCCCTTGTATCTGTCATCCTAAACAAAATATGTATCACATGTATAAGTCACTAAGCCACAAGGACAGAGAAATTTGACCTTTAATGGCCTCTCAAAATGACAGTACCAAATGGCTTTGGGAAGGTCAAGTCTGATGTAAATTGTTGATGAATTGGAAACTAATTAATGAGAACTAAATATTAATTGGAAAGAGTGGTATATACTACAATTTAGAGCCTAATTAATGATCAGTAAAAAGTATTTTCCTATTCACCTCATGTATAACTGTAGAAGTACCAATATATCAAAATATTCTAATAGTTACTTTTCTCTTACTGTGGCTGAGGGGCAATTCTTCAGTGATTTGATCCTCAGTTCTCTTTCACACTGTGTTTGATATCTGTCAAACTTGGTATCATCAAAGTGTAGAGACAGTTCTGTACAAATCATGAATAAACTTAAAGAGAAAAAAAAAAACAATTAACATCTTAAAAACTAAATCCACTGTGATAAGCCTTCCAATTAGAAATTTCATTATTTCCCATGTCCATTTGATGCTGAATATTGGGATTTATTGCCAAATACCTGAAAAACAGGTTGGAAACAAGCCAGAACTGTCAAAAACATTACAGTTCTGGGTATTTGAGTCTGTTACCTTGTGATGTTTCTTATGAAAATTTCATGAGGAGCATTTATTCAAAGAGATTCTATGCATAAGGCAGATGGATGGAATTTAATTGCCCTTATTAAAAATAAGAAAGGGAAACTCTTTACTAGTCCATCCTATTAGTATTCAGGATAAATTATCTTTGTTGTAAGCTTAGGTATTTGCAAAAGAGACTCCAGGGTTTTCTGTATGAACCAAGTAGGAAAGGAAAGGTCAGGTCATAAAAACCCTGTTCTGTGTTACAAGTCAAATCTTGTCAGTTAATACCAAAGACCTTGTGTTTATAAGCAGAAACATACCTTTCTTTGGGAAGAGCCAATGGCTGGTGAATAATTTGACATTTAACCATTATTAGTTCTGGACAATTACGGAAGCTTATCCAGGAGTTGTATTTACTGTAGCAAGGCTCTAGGATGATTGGTGAATCAAGGGTGCAGGTTATTTTTTTCCTCTATTCTTCCAGTTGCAGAAGGGGACAGTGAAAGAAGCCAGTGGACTAACATGGCTCCGTGACTGGTGTCGCCATCAAGATTTTGGTTTTTTGATAATGGGATGGTGTATATGGCACCAGGCTTGCTAAATGCAGATGGAATTCATCTCTCTCAAAGGAGGGAAGAGGGTCTTTGGTCAAGGGCTAGCAGGAGTTATTGATAGGGCTTTAAACTAGATAAACAGAGGAGGGGTATATCATCAAGTTTAGTAGTGATAAGGTGTGGCATAACATGCCATCCCACTCATACCAGTTAGATGCCTGAGCCAGCAAGAGATGCTCAGAGCCTGGAGAGAGTAGTAAGGTCAGCAGCAGAAGACCTGGGCAGCACCAAGAAATTCCAGCCACACCAGACAGCTTAATTGGAGGCAGGGCAGAGGCAACTTAATGTCTCTGGGCTAACACATGCAACATGGGGAATAAACAAAAGGAATTAGAGATGTGTGAATGTCTGCAAGGCTGTGACCTTATTGGCATCACGGAAAAACAGTGGGATGTCTCCTATGACTGGAGTGTTGAAATGGAAGGATACAGCCACTATACGTCATATTTGAGAAGTCACGGCAATCTGTTTAAGTTCCCAGGAAAAGGGGAAACACGACCCTCACTTTTAAAAATGGAGATAAGGAAGACCCAGGGAACTACAGACAGATTAATCCCACCTCAGTGGCTGGCAAGATCATGGATCAGATCCTCCTGGGAATTGTGCTAAGGTACATGGAAGATAATGAGACAGCCAAAAGAATTGTTGATAGCCAACATGGCTTCACTAAAGGCAAATAGTACCTCACAAATCTGGTGTGCTTCTATGATGCAGTTACAGCAGTGCTGGACAAGGGAAGGCAATAGAAATCATCTGCCTGAATCTGTGCAAAGCATTTGACACTGTCCCATGTGACATCCTTGTCTATAAACTGCTGAGGCATGAATTTGACAGGTGGACCAATTGGTGGATAAAAAATTGGCTGGATGATTGCACTCAAAGAGTTGCAGTGAACAGCTCAATGTCCAATTGAAAAGCAATGACAATGAGTGTTCTTTAGAAATTTTGTATTGGGACGAGAAGTATTTAGCATCTTTGTCAGTGACGTGGACAGTGTGATTGAGTGCACCCTCAGCAAGTTTGGCAACAGCACCAAGCTGTATGGTGGAGTTGATATGCTGGAGGGCAGGGATGCCATCCAGAGGGATGTGGATAGGCTTGAGAGGTGGGCCCTTGTGAACTTCAGGAATTTCAACAAGCACCAAGTGTAAGGTACTGCACCTGTGTTGTAACCATTTCAACCACAAATACAAGCTAGGTGGAGAATGGATCAAGATTAGCTCTGGGTAGAAGGATGGGGCTTGTTTGTGGTTGAAAAGCTCAGTGTGACCCAGCAATGTGCACTTGCAGCCCAGAAAGCCAATCATGTCCTAACCTGCATCAAAAGACGCCTGAACAGGAGGTTGAGGGAGATGCTTATTCCCCTCTATTTTGTTCTTGTGAGACCCCACCTGGAATACTGCATCCAGGTCTGGTGCCCCTAACACAAGAAAGACACTGACGTGTCTGAATGAGTCCACCAGAAACAAAAACTGTAGAGTTGAAAGAGGTCTGGAACACCCCTTCTTTGAAGAAAGGCTGAGAGAGTTATGGCTGTTCAGCCTGGAGAAAAAAAGGCTCTGGAGAGACCTCCTTCAGTCTTTCAGTACGTAAAGGGGGCTTACAAGAAGGCTAGAGAGAGACTTTTCACAAGGGCAGCTAGTGATAATAAAAGACAGATTTGTCTTTAAGCTGAAGGAGTATAGGTTTATCTTAAATCTTAGGAAGAAAAACTTTACTGTCAGGGTGGTGGAGCACTGAAACAGGTTGCCCAGAGAGGTTGTGGATACCCTATCCTTAAAGGTGTGCAAGACCAGGATCATTGTGGCTCTGAGTAACCTGGTCTAGTGGTTGTCCATGGCAGAGGGGTTAAAAGTAGATGGCCCTTAAGGTCCCAAACTGTTCTGTGAATCAGTGGGTATCTACATGCATTGTATGCAGTTAAGTAGCTCATGGGCAGCTTCACACCCCAGGAGCTACGAAGATTTATAGGCTGCACTTGCTCGCTATACATTTTTCAGAAAAGTCTGAAGACTTATGTAACTATTTGAAAATGTGACACTTCTTTGTGGAAGAGAGTTGACGTTGTTCAATTTCTCATGTTAGTTTTACCCCCTAATCAATTGCATGTCAGTAATGACCAGTCAAAACATTTAATAATATGTGTTTTGTAGTTAACATTGATCCTCTTTCTTAGATTATTTTTACTTGTCATTTTTAAGGGAAAAAATACTTTTTTGTGATAAAAATATTTTTGCTACTGTAATGGAAATGAGAAGCAAGATGATGTATTTCAAATAGATTATTTTAGGTATGCTAACTTGGTTTCTGAGAAATTGCCTGATCCCTGTGCTGCTTCCAGTACCACTTGCTAGCAGGCATCATATTAAGAAAGCCAGTTGCTCTTTTGTAGTATGTCTTAATATTTCAATATTGACCACACGAGGGTGAGGATTTTTGACCATATCTGAGTGTCTTAATAGACTCTGTTGCATCTAATTCAAGATCGTTGTGAGTATCCTGTCACTTTAGCTTTACTAATTTACATAGCTCCAATGTTTAGAGTTTCTCAGGGCTTTGAAATCATGTAATGCATTCATCCTCACAGCACTTCTCAGTAGCAATAAAGCTCTGTCATATCCATCTTACAGATGGACAACTGAAGCACAGGGCCAGTAAATATTAAGACCAACAGCAGATAAGTAATAATGATCAAAGCAAGAGACATAACTTGGTTCTTTTGGGTCACTGTCCAGATCCTGTACTGCATGATTGTACTGTGCACTTGTATGATGTATAGAAAAGGGGTTTTCGTTATTGTTGATAGACATCGTAATTCAGTATATCACATAAAATAGTAAGGACTCATGCAAGCAGAGCCACATCATTGTTGTAAGGTACCATTGTATAAGTCCAATGATTATACACTATGCAGTATATCTCATGTGATTTAATGCATTTTATAAGACAGTATAAAGTTTGTAGCCAGTGTTTATGAAGTTTTTAATTTTTATCAGCTTTTTGATAATGTATGTTAACCAAAAATACCGACTGGGTATCTGTTTTTTTCAGCCCTTGTATTCAGTTCCTAATGTACAAACAATTAGGTAACCCCTGAATGTTAAGCAGGCTAGTGATTCAGGCTTTCGTGCAGTACTATGTAACAAATGTGAAATCCTTCAACTTACACTTTGTTTTTCCAGAGGATCAAATTCCTCGAGGTTTTCCCACCATTGATATGGGACCACAACTGAAGGTGGTTGAACGAACTCGCACAGCTACCATGTTATGTGCAGCCAGTGGCAATCCTGATCCCGAAATAACTTGGTTCAAAGATTTCTTACCTGTTGACACAAGCAACAACAATGGCCGCATCAAGCAGCTACGCTCAGGTAGGGTCTTGTTACTGTTTCCACCAACGCCCAGAATTGTTCTCTCTCACTTTTTCTTTCTTTTCTTTCTCTTCCTTTTTTTGAAATTTTTATTTATAGGTAATAATTTCTCTTTCTCCTCTCCTTTTCTGTGTTACTAAGTGTGTTGTCCATGTCTGTGGTGTTGTCATAGCTTTCTATAGAGTCTGTCTCTATATGTTTTGCAGCTTCTGTTTACTCCACATTGCTCACTGCTGTGACTGTATTTTTTGATAATTTTTTTCTTTACTGCTTTTTGCAGTACTTGATGGATCCATTTTCTCCTCTTTCTTTCTTCTTTCCTTTTTATTTTTTTTAACAAATTTATTTCAACATTGGACTTCATTCAGAAATTGCAAGGAGTACCAATGGTTATATTCATCAAAACCAAAACCTGCATTAGACACTTCAATTAAAATTTAAAATGTGTTTTGTACTGTCTTTTCCACATTTGACTTCACCAAAGATTAGCCAGTTTGGACACATCTTCTTTCCTCTCACAAATACATAAAGCACAGTACTTCTTCCCATGCAGATTTATACCTTAAAAAAAAAAAAAGGAAAAGAAATCTTTGGGTAATCTATGGAATAAAGTTGGGGTTTTTTTGCTGGCTGAGCATTTTTCCAACACATTTAGCCACAGTAGTGTGCGCCCACGCTAAAGCTTTATGAATCCTACATTTTCTGGATCTACAGAAGTCTGCTTTTGATGTAGAATCCAGCTTTTGCTGCTCTCTCTCTCTTTGCCCCTTGCACCTCCCTAGCAGTTCTTTCACTCTTCTCCTGCCCTAGTTTATTCTTTTGCTCTCTTTAGATTAAATAATAGAAAATGACAACAACAACAAACAATCTCGAAATTTATCAGGTTTAAAGCTTATCCCAAAGTAAGACCATTGGGATATAATGAGCTTTTTTCTTTAACAATTGTAGTAGATATCGTTGTAGAATCTAAGATGTTTAATCACGTGTCTTCCCAGAATCCTCAGCTTTTGACCTGTCCTGTGATGTTAAATCGTCTTGTTAACTGACTTTTTGCTTGTTGTCAGCAGAACTGTGTAAATTAACCTTCTGTTAATGTAAATTAAGATTTTTTTCACATGTGACATAGATGATTTAGTATATAAAGCTTTAACTGAAAACTTTGTACCAAATTATAAGGAATATAATAATATTTTTATGCTGTCTTTCTTCTCTCCGTATTTAAATCTCCAGAATCTATTGGTAAGTGCTTAGTTCTGAAGCGCACTTCACCCCCACTAATTTCCATATTCAGAATATTATTATGATGGTGATAATTATTATATGATTAGTTTTATTATTCTTAAAATGCATGGCATGCATTTTACTAACAGTCAGTGTAGTCACCAGATCCCTTTAGTGGCGCACACGCACACCTCCACAGAAATGTTGTCTTAGCAGTCATAGCAACACCTAAAAGAAACAGTACACATGTATCATGTAGATCTAGAACAGTAATGCCATAATCCAGCCTAAACTGCAGTGTTTGTTTTGAGATAGCCTTCAGTGTATCCTCTTTTTATATATATATAGATTTATATATATATATTTAAATAGAATTTCCAGTATTTTCCTAAACTATGCCATAAGTACAGTTTTGTAAAGTTTCCTTTAAGTTATTTGAGGCATATTTGATACATATCTAACTCTATATAACCAAACGTCTAAGAACTCAGATGCTTCTCTGAGAATGGCAGTGCAGCCAATTGTAACATTTTTGCCCCTTGTGGTACAATGAAACTTGCTTTTATAACTTGATAATACTATCTAATATATTCCTGTTTTAACAGTATAGTAATTCAAGTTTCTCTTAAGACCTTATTTAATTCTGTAAATCTAATTTGATTCTTCTTCCAAAGCCCTAGCCTCCTTCTTCTCGTACTAATGCTTCTTCTTTCTAATCTTATTTGCATTCATATTATCCACCCAGGTGGTACACCAATAAGAGGTAAGAGTGCTGAACTAACGTTCACAGAATGATCTTACTCATTCTTTCTGTCCTTTCATCCCTCTCATCTTTGTCTTGTTTTTGGTTTGGTTTTGTTTTGTTTTCCTTAGGGAAAAAACAAAACAAAACACAAACCTACAGAAATGTCCATCATCTGATTTTCTTTTTCCTTTGTCCTGTTTGGTTATGATCAGTGACTCTCATATTGTGATCTTTCTTTCTTCACATTGCCTTTTCATTTTCCTTTTTTGTTTCTTCATTAAAATAAATAAACAAATGAATAAATAAATAAATAAGAATTAATTTGTGATATGCTTCAAAGCAAGCATATCCAGGTCTCCTGGCCATAGCCCAGTCACAGCGTACCATTTGTCCCTCTTTTTTCTTTTTCTTCTTCTTCTTCTTCTTTTTCTTCTTCTTCTTTTTCTTCTTTTTTATTTTTCTTCCTTTTTATTCTTCTTTTTTTTCCTTCCTCTTTTTTTTTTGTCCAACTGGAGCAAAAAAAGATCATTTTTTTTCTTCCTTAGCTGTTCTTGTCCTGGACCAAAGCCAAGATGGTCTGGAGAACAGTAGCAGACATGCAGAAGACAACATGGACTATCTTCTTTTTGTCTTATCTTTCATAAAAGGTTTTTGTTTTTGTTCTTCTTCAATGCTTTTTTTTCTCTACCTTCTTAAAATTGAAAATTATATGTCGCCCCCTAAAAAATTACAGAAATGTTTTTTTTTCCTTTATTGTGTTTTTTGTTTTTTTGGTTTTTTTTTTTTTTTTTTGGTGGGTTTTTTGGGGGTTTTTTGTTGTTTATTTATTTCATGTTTCTTTTTCTTGGAATTCTCTCACCTCTGGATTTTTGGATCTTCTAATCTACAGGCTTTGGAAATGAAAGGTTACTGACTCATTATTCTTGGTGGTATGTGGTATTGTTGGTTTTTGATACTCTAGCAAAACTGTTTACTTCTTTTATAATTCTTATTTTGTATTTTTCTTGGGTTTTGTGGCACCACACTGCTAATCCCACTTGTGGATTTTGATGGGTGTCTTGTGGGGGCCCTCCTGCGGTCCTCAGCAGTGGATGGTTGGTTCTTCCTTGTTGGCGTAGACCATGCTTTTTAACTTTTTTGTCTTCTAATTCAACTGCTCTTTGTTTTTCAGCAAACGTGCTTTAAGCTTGTAAGTTGCGGAAAACTGTCTTTCTTTTCATATCAATCTGCATGTCTTAAAGGAGTTTTATTTCTTTAAAATAATATTTTGATGATTGTAAATGACTAATACAGTTTCTTTTTTTTTCACTTCAAGCAGCCTTTTTGTTATTGCTGCACATTTTTGGCTTTCTTCAGCAGAAGATTTCTTGAAGTCTGTCCCGCCTTTTTTTACGAGTACCACCTTTTGTGCTACTTTTGTTATTAGATTGAAGCAATTAAATAAAAATTAAGTAATTATAATGACCCAACTACCTAATCTCTTTTGTTTTATTCAAAAGCCATTCTTCCTTGAAGCAGTCTCACCCATCTTCATTTTAATGGTTTAGGAAAGAGTATTGTTTAGAGGGTTTTGGTTTTTTGGTTTTTTTTTTTGCTAAATGCAAATTATTTTCCTGTGCTAGCACTGATGATGTGAAAAAAATAATCTCTTTGTTTTTTTCATTGCATCATTTTCTGTCTGTGCACCTTAGCAAGAAAATGAACCGACGTTGAGTGGACCTTCGCATACAAGCTTTTCATATTGTTGAGAGGTGTATTGTTTTGGATAGAAAAAGCCTTCTCTGACTGTCTCTTTGGCAATGTATTTTATATTCATACAGGTGCCCTCCAAATTGAACTGAGTGAAGAATCTGACCAAGGCAAATATGAATGTGTTGCAACCAACAGTGCGGGTACACGCTATTCTGCCCCTGCCAATCTATATGTCAGAGGTAGGAATGACATAACCCTGGCATCCACTGTTCATTCAGGTTCAGGGCTAAGATACTCTCAGGGTCTATACAGTTACCACTGTAATAATCAAAATGCCATGGTAAATGTGTCAGTTGTAAAATTCATTTTAAACTGTAGAGGAAAGGCTTGGGGTTTATTTTGTCCTTTTAAAGCACTCTTCGGTCCAGTCTATCCTGTGGGTTAAGGTTTGTAAGTATATTTATATTTTTACATCTTAACTTCTGTTTTTCTCCTGAATTAAGTTAAACTGTGCTTTGCATTTATTTTCTTTTATTGGTTTTGTTTTGTTATGCTTTTCTTTTCAAACTCCTGAAGTGACTGCTGTGTGTGCTACTAATCAGCTGAGTGTAACCCCAAGGCATTGAGGTGTATGCCTATCTGACTTCTGCTGTGTAACTGCAAAGGGAAAGCTTCTAACTTTATAACTTGGTGTATGCGGAGCACAACTGTATTTTCCTCTTTTCTGTTTCTTCTTATTATATATGCATGAATATATATATATTTAATGTAAGACTTGTGAGTGAAGTGTGGTCCTTTAGAATTATAGTGGTCAATTGGCTGTATTCTTTTAAAAAATTACCTGTGTATATGACAGGCATGATTACTAAGAAAACAACTATATTCCTCTGTGCAGTAGTAGAAATGGTTATAAACATATGAAAATATTTATTAGTTCAGCTAGAAAGAAAGGCTTTGTTTCAGGCAGTATTTGCTACATCTGATTGATGTAAATTTCTGTAAAACAAAGACTATAACATACATACATACATGCATATGTGTATATATGTGTGTGTGTCTACAGTATAAGGGGACGGGTGGGGGAAATAGGACTGAAAACATAAATAGCTGTAAATGTTACTGCAGGGTGGATTACCTTACAAAAAATGCCTAGCTTGATTTTGAAATTTTTTTTAGAGCTGATTTTTCAATCAACCTGATATGTTTTCATATGGTGTGACTCTTTTGGCTAACTAAAAAAGAAAAAGGAAAACCTTTCATAGTTACAACATCCATAGAAAGTTATTTGATCTTTTATTTTCTTTCTCTTGTCCTCCAACATACTGATTTTCCTGTACTGCATGAGGCATGTATACCTTTATATCCAAAGGAAAATTTCAAAATTATGCTAGCTATTGTTTCGAACACCATTGTAGCTGTAGAAAATGCTAACTTTTCAAGATGAGGTAGGAAGGTTTAATTAGCACAAGTAGAGATGTTCAACTAGCAGTTGAAAGCCTTGATATGGCCTTTTTACTCTCTCTGTGTTTCCCTTGTTTTTCTCCTTTCCTCATTTCATTGTGTTCTGCATCAAACCCCCTACATCCCTCAGAGCTGCGAGAAGGTTGGTGTGTTTTTTACTTTTTACCCACCTTACAAAACTATTAATTAAACCAATAACAAAGAATACAAATGAAATGAATGTAGCTGCATTGTGGCATTTTTTAAGTTAATGTTATGTTTAAGCAGAGAATGCCCTGGTCATGGCTTTTGATGAGTGCTGATATCTATCTAACTGTTGTGCATGATAAGAGAGAATGAACCTGGATGCATGGCAATCTTTTTAGCTTTGATACTAACGTCTACTAAACTTGGTCAGTGTTCCTGCTTTTTCTTCCCTTTTAATTTCTTGCTTATACTGATGCCTGCTTTTCAAGGAATGGTTTCAGTAGTTGCTTTTCTAAATAGCCTGCGCATGAAGACTAGACTCTCCTTTGTCTATAAGGATTTTGTTCAATTCAAGGAGTTCCTCATTGCCTGCTGTTTGCTTCGTGTGGCCTCTGTGAACTGGCCGCTTACGGATGTTTTGCTTTCTGCTTGTTCCCCTTCTGCCTGTCATTCACTCATGAGGCCATTGCAGTAAGCCCCTCCTGAATGCATAGAAGATCACAGAAATTTAATCAAACCAAGAGAAAAGGTTTTAGACTAATATAATTTTCCCTATTTTTTTTTAAAACTCACTCATAGTCTTATTTTACTTTTAATTTCTTTCTGAATCAAAACTGTCTTAATCATTAGCCTCTATTAAGGCCAAATAAATACAGTTTCGAGTACACTGTCCAATTAAAGGCCTAAATACAAACCTACCTCTCTCAGCTACCTCTGTCACTTCCACCTCCTACACACATGTGCACACCACTGAGAATATTTGAAGCAGGAACACTGATCTGTTATTGCCTGGTAATTTTCTCGGTGTTGTGTTTGCCTAAATATTAACTACTCTGTTAGTGGAATGTCCTGCTATGTGTTTAAGGTTGACACCCCTTGCTGTCAATACAGAAATGTCTAATATTATCAATCCTTATTTTGCTTTCCTTTAACTGTGAGCATAGTGGAATCCTGAATGTTCAATATTCTGCTATTTCCCCAGAGGCCCTTCTTAGCAGTTGCTTTTTAACTCCCTAAATTTAATCTAAGTTCCTTCTCCCTCAACCTCTATGCTTCTCTTAAACTCCTGTATCTATCTGTCAGCCTATCCCCATCTCTTCCAAGTTTTTCTTTCCTCACCCAGTATGTTTTCTTTTTGAGTTCTTTTTCTCTCTGCAGTTTTTACTCAGACATTTCCCTAAGCATGATTCTCTATTGTTTCTGTCATTTGCTTGCTTGCATGACCAAATCCAGTACTTTGTACTGGCTTTGCCTAGTCTTCTTCTGTGACTCTCTCTCTCTTTCCATATATATATATATATATTTATATTTATATATATTTGTATATGTGTATACCTATGTGCATATATATATATATATATTTGTATCTGTGTGCAATTATATATTTTTTTATGTTTGTTTCAGTGTTAGTGTGAGGTCTTGAGGCTGCATCTACTTTGAGTCGGAAAGCAAATGAAATTGCACTTTCAATTTACTGTAGGCAGTGTGTTCCAGGACTGTGATGTGACAATGTGGCCTAGCACATTTATTCACATCAAATGGAAGCACACAGCATTGAAGTTGGTGATCAACTCAAGCATGCTGTTGACCTTCCAGTTTTCTTCTGTGCATATATATATGTATGGGCATAAAAAAATGCATATATATATGTGCGCCTGTGTGTGTGCGTGCACGTGTGCGTGTATATCTTTTGCATGGTGTTTGTGTATTGTTAGTATATAATTAGTTATGTGTGGGGCCCTAATAGGTTTGAATCAGCCTTTGTACGAATGTGCCTATTAATATCCTCAAGTAAATACAGAATAATTCACATTGTGTGCAGACAAAATTCTTACTTAGTCTCATATTTCTCTTATATATAGATATTTTTTCTGGCAGATCGGAATAAACGTTAAAACATTAAGTTGTGTCTGTACACTGCATGCTGTCCGTATGCAAGACTGAGTTTCTTTTTTTTTGTATATGTTATTACCTTTTTTTGTGTTTTGTTCCAGTTCGACGGGTCCCACCGAGGTTCTCTATCCCACCCACAAATCACGAGATCATGCCTGGCGGGAGTGTAAATATCACCTGTGTTGCGGTGGGGTCGCCAATGCCATATGTGAAATGGATGCTAGGAGCAGAAGATTTGACACCTGAGGATGATATGCCAATAGGGAGAAACGTCCTTGAGCTTAATGATGTCAGACAGTCTGCAAACTATACTTGTGTTGCTATGTCTACCCTTGGTGTTATAGAAGCAATAGCGCAGATAACTGTCAAAGGTATATCCCAAGCACATATATATGGACATAGTTCAGTCTTTTTTTTCTTTCATTGCTATCTTCTGAGCAAATGTGTTGCACTGAAAGGGACTCAGTGCCACTTGCACTCTTAAATCAAGAGGGTAAATATTCCAGCCAATCAGTGGCATAAGACAAAATAAAGGCTCAGAGAACAGTAATGCTTACTGATTTAATAAGTCATATTTATTAAAATAAGTTAGCCACAGCGTTCCATTATTCTTCTTTGTCTAGCTCCCAGCCTTCATTTCAGTTAAAGATCGTACAATGTTGCATTTACTTGTCAACAGCAGGAACCTTTATGAACCAGTCATTTGATTTTTAAGTTGCTGGGTGTCCAAGTATCATATTCATGGAGTAATTAGAAACTAGATATTCAAAAAATATTTGAAAATAAACTGTAATGGTTTATTGTCTCTCTGTAAGATTTCTCTTCTGCGTATGGTTACGACATTTATTTCAAAAATCAGTGTCATTAGTTTATGACAAATGAACCATATTTAACAGGACTTGAAGATTTTCTGATAGATTTTTGAAGGAAATCATAGTTGCCAAAAGCTTCCTCTAAGTGGATCACACCTTCTTTCCATTCAGTTTTCCTGTTATGATTTTGTTTTGTTGTTTGTAAGCTTCTTAATTTAATAATTAACGTCTGCTCTTACCTAGTGCTAACTGTATTTTTTGTCATTTGTCTTTAGCCTTACCCAAACCTCCTGGAACACCTGTTGTGACAGAGAGCACAGCAACAAGCATAACATTGACTTGGGATTCTGGAAACCCTGAGCCAGTTTCTTACTACATAATCCAACACAAACCCAAAAACTCAGAGGAGCCATATAAAGAAATTGATGGTGTGGCCACAACACGTTATAGCGTGGCTGGCCTAAGCCCATATTCAGAGTATGAATTTCGTGTAGTTGCTGTAAATAACATTGGGCGAGGGCCACCCAGTGAGCCTGTGTCAACAAGGACTTCAGAGCAAGCACCTTCAAGTGCCCCCCGCAATGTGCAGGCCCGTATGTTGAGTTCTACCACCATTTTGGTACAGTGGGAAGAACCCGAGGAACCTAATGGGCAAATACAAGGTTACAGAGTTTATTATACCATGGACCCCACTCAGCACGTTAACAACTGGATGAAGCACAATGTGGCTGACAGTCATATTACCACTATTGGGAATCTTGTACCCCAGAAAACATACTCTGTGAAAGTTCTTGCTTTTACTTCTGTTGGGGATGGACCACTTTCTAGTGACATTCAAGTCATCACTCAAACAGGAGGTAAGCTAGGAGTGAACAGAATTTGTGTGAAGAAGAATTGAATGCATGCAGAGATTTTGCAGAGACTTTGAGTTTAAAATGTTGCAAAAAACATCCCTCTCAAGGGTAATCAGTTTATTCAGGCAGCTTTTGCAATAATTTTTTCTCAATTCCACAGTGCAAGTTATCTCTGAAGAGTGAAAATTACCCCCTCACACTTTTATTTCTTTTCTCATCAGCGTCAAGAAGTTTATCTGGAGTTTAACTGAAGTGTCAGGGAGACCTTCATTCTGAGGTGGCCAAGTGTTATGGTTTCTGTTTGGCAATGGTCTGTGCACCAAACATATTTGTCAAATAGTTCTTCATAGTTTTCTTTGAGGAGTTACCATTGTTGGTAGGCTTTATTTGGTGTCATGTAACTCCCTTATGCCACATTACTCTAGTGAACCTTGCTTTTGGAAGTCTAAAATGTGTGTGTACCATGTGTATTCAAATAGTTGTTAAGGTTCTGACAACAAAATAAAATGTTAAAGCATTAAATACAACAAGCCTTTGTGTAGGTTCAAGCAAGCAGTTCTGTACGCTTTGGATTTATAAATCGAATGCTACCTGTCCCTACGAAGTGCACACCAAAAGGTGTGCAGACCACTTTCTTGGTTTGTGTTTGCAGTTAGGTTGTTTTGTTTCTGTTCAGGAGTTTTAGGTCCATGAATTAGTTTTATTAGCAAAGGACAAGCAAGCACAGTGAAAAACATTGCAAAAAAATTTTACAAAATCAAAAGCAAGAAGCTCTGGTGTAGTTACACTGCACAAAATGGTTTATTGTAGCAATAAGAAATAAAAGCTCCTTTTGTCTAGCACTTTAGAGAAAGCTCTATGAAATATTACTGTAGGTCAGTGATTGTCTAAAAATATATAATACTACCTAAATTTTTTAGTACAGGAAAGTTTCCTGTTGCAGAATTTAGCATCCCTCAAATTCTTAAAAAACAGATCTCTAAAATGTAACTGTAGACAGTTATGTTTCATCCAGTTTTTACTTACCAATATGCATTTAATAAAGACAGAAATTGAGGTATTATCCTGGAATCTTTTTAGGTGCTGTGTTACACAAAGTTCTAAGTGATTCCTTTTGCAGTATCTCAGCTGAGAAGTTACAAAGTTAACTGATTTTAGACGTTCTAGTGGTACATTAAAATGTGCCTGGATGCACATGCAAATATAAATATATACACCATAGTTTAATTTTGGCTTTCACAACCTTTCTCACTTTATATTGGCATCTGCTCTCTGCTTGAATCTGCATGCAAAAAGCTTTTCAAGAAAAAGATTGAGTGAGCTCCTTGACTGTGGTTTTGCTCACAACTGTAAACCTCTTAGATTAGAAAGTGTTTGACAGTGGCTTCCCCAGTAAAGGATAAGGGAATTGAAATAATGAGCACTGAGGCTCAGCTGGACTGTCCCAAGTCGCATTGCTTGCTAAGGTCAATTCAGAAAAGTTCTGTTTATTAAAACCTTCATAAAACTTGCTGTTAATCATGCCCATCTGTTCATGATTACTGTTGCAGTCTGAAGAAATTATAACAAAATTAAGAGTGCTGGAGGTTTTCTCAGTACATGCTTTCAACTTCGTAACAGAGTTGACTTGATAATGTTTATTTGTGGCTAACTAAAAAAAAAAAATTTAAAAAAATGGGATATACAAGAGGCATATTTAAGCACTGATACTTTCCTTTGAAATACCAACATTTTAAATCATAAAAGGGAAAAAAACCTAAGAAAGTCTAGTTCAGTTCTCCAGTTCAGGGTATGTTTAAAAACTAAGATTCTCCCATTTTTCTGTCCAGTAGTTTCTCTTCAGTAAACACCATAGAATAAAATGCTCTCCTTGCCCTTGTCTTCCAGATTTGCTGTAATGTAAATCTGAATACAGTTGTTTTAGTTTAAGTCACTCAAAATGAAACTGATTCCAAATATTAAAGTGAGTTATAAAGTGCTATTTAAAAACAGGGGAAATGGATTTAATGGAAAAATTGGAATAGGATGCTGATTACATGTGTTCGATTTTTTTTTTTCTTTTTTCTTTGTAAACAGATTAGCCTGTCATAACGAATATATAGCTTAACCCCTATTCTTACTATGGGGTATTAGAGCATATATACAACAAAAGCTTACTGACATCTGTGACTTACAGGCAATAGTTAAATAGTTCAAAGCTTAAATGTGTTCTGATCTTTGGAGAGAAATTATGAAAATTAATAATTTGTTCTTAAAAAGACTATTCAGAGGAATTTTTGCTTTCCTAGTACAGTGGAGTTTTCTTTTGAAATGCCTGTGAGTGGCTTCTTACTTTGCAGGTCAGCTGAAACCCTGCTGATAATGAGGCAAGTTTTTAATTAAAATATTGACTTGGGGCATGTAGTTTGAGGGGAAGAGAAGGAAGCATTTTTCAGACAACCAGAAATAAAATATATTAAAAAAAATCATGTTCAGTTTTGGTTTTCAGTATTTTACTTAAGCAGTTTAAGGCAAAGCCATTTCCTATTGCCCCACAATAGGACAGTTTTTTCCTCTTGCCCCACAATAGTTGTTTTCAGTAGTGTTTTCTTTATGATAAATTTAAGAAATTTTTTAATCAGAAAAAAACTGTGAAGCTGAGCCTTTTGAATAAGGGAAGTTCAATTTCGAAAGCTATACCTAGGAAAGTCCTTATTCTTGACTTTTGGGCAAAAGGATTTTATTCCCTTGAGGCTAGAGTCAGGACCAGGCTGTTATTTAGATGAATTGACTTAAATTTTGGACTAAAGAAAGATTGATATATGTTTTAGTGTGATACTTCTTGCCTTTCTTTCACTTTTTTAGAGAACAAAAGTTCTGTTTGTCTGTGTCCAGTTTAAGAGCTCAGCACATACTTCTTGTGTATCGTCCAGTATTTCCTTTCTGTGCTTAAACTGGTCAGAAGTATATATACTCTGAGCAACGTATTTTAACCTGTGTGTACCAGAAAAATTTGGAATTTTAAGCTTTCTGGGTTTGATTTTGCTTTTGTTTCATTTAATTTTGTTTCATTTTTACTGTGCAAAGAGAGGATAGTTACTGAAGGAGTTAAGAGAATCTTGTTTTTGTTCTGAGCTTTGGTAAAAAGAAGGGAGAGTGAGAGATACATAAGATCTATTGGATAGTGGATTATTGGAGAAAGAGACAGAGAAAAAGTATTCAGGGAAATGAATATGCACCTGTAAGCATATGCTTCTTTAGACAAAAACTTAAAATATAAAACATGCTACTAATTTTAAACCAAGGATTCTCCATGGCTTGGAGGCTAAGAATCATTACAATTATGAAGGGCTAATGTTTTGAAGATATGAAGAAGGACAGTAATGAGAAGATTAAGTATCTGACTTGCAGGGCATGTAAATGAAACCCTAACTTAAACAAAATTAATGTTTGTGGAGTTCTTATAGTAAAAGCAGATTAGAAAATCAGAGGAAGAGAGTCCGTAGCAAGTGAATACTGTTCTGTGTTGTAGCAAGCTAACTGCTTTACCAGACATTTAAAATTTTTGTAATGAAGACATGAAGGGGGAAACCATGTCTCTCAGTTGTAAGAGCTTCCCTGTAGAGTCTTATGCTTCTTTCAGAGAAAGTAGAGGCATAAACTCTTTGTCTCTTTAGATTCTCTACTGATTGTAAATTCTCTTGGTCAATTTCTTGTCCTTTACAAAGCTGATTTCTAATTGAAATGATTGAGGTTTTGTCTAGGTATGGATTTCACCCTAGCAATGTCATGGGTCCCTTTTTAGCCTGGAGACACTTTTCCAGTATTATTTGCAAACCCAGCACAGTCTTGGAATGGTTTCTGTTTATCTCAGCCAGCGGAGGAGCTGTGCAGGAAACTAAAGTGCCTTTCTGACTTGAGATCCCATTTTATGCTTCTTTTCTGGCACTTTTAATCAGGAGTGGGCATAGAACTACAAGGAAAATGTCCAGCAGTCTGCTTGTTTCTGGTTATCCAACAGTAAACATGGAGGACTAAGCAAGCGAAAATGGAGAAGTTTATATGCAGTTTTGAACAAAGTCATGGACTTTTGTTCAAGAAGACTTCTGTTTGGAACACAGGGAAGTTAAGGGTTTTAATGTACTTTTGTAGAGCACATTGCCCTCAAAGCAGAAGAGACAGTATTGAGGAAATGCTTGCTCAGAAACATTCCCTTTAGTGACCTTCCCCAAGTACAGCACTAATATGGAGTTAGATTTGATGTGTGAATTTAAAAAGACTTCAGTAAGAGTATGAAGTCTACGTACACAGATTTTGAATTTTCTCTAGTTTTTTTTTCTGTTTCTGAAGTAAACCGGTAGCTTCTGTCAGCTCCAGCTTGGCTTAACTCGTATGTGCCACTGAAGATTTTTTTGAACAGATGTTGTGTGTTTTAGGCATAAATCCTAAATAGTTTAAAAGTTATTCTTGCACTTTCTTAACTGGTATTTTTCCTTTGTCTTAAGCATTGGGTTCCCTACAAGAGTTCATCAGCAATACAATGTGTTTAGTTGCTGTTATTTTGGTTTTGTTGTCTTTCTTCTCCTTCTTCTCTTATCTGCCTGGAGCAATGCAGATTTCTCTTGTCACCTCTTTCTTCTGTTAGTGTTTTCAGCATCAGAGTTGCCAAACTATAGTTAAAAAATCTGAAGGGAGACTTGATTTTGCAGCAAGGTATTATTTTGACAAACAGCATTTGGAAAAGTCCAATTAGCCATCAACTTGTCTTAAAAAATTATTGAGAATTGCAGACCTAAGACCACAAAGGGTTTGTTTTTTTTTTAAGGAATACTTGGAGAATGAGGGTCTTAAAACATGCAGAGAGACAGGAAATACCCTTAGTTCTCCATCTGCTGCCATATCTATCATAACAGATGGTACCTGCCTTCGTATTAGTCACTTGACTGATCATTTTCTATTGCTGCCTGGCTGTGTTCTACAAGTCGTGTATCCATACATTAGGTAGAGATAGTAACATCACGGAACAATTCAGGCTGGCAGGATGATCATCTAGGGAGATCTCAAACCACAACTGCTGCCAAGAGCAGGCTCAGCTGTGGGGTCAGGCTTAACTTTCTTAGGGCATCACCCAGTTGAAGTGTAAAACCCCCCGCAAATCTGGTATGATCAACTTCCCTGGGCCTTGGCTTTATTGCTGTGTTGTCCTGAGCCTCTCATATTTCAGCTTGGGACACTGCTTTTCACTTGCCACGCTTTCTGAAGAGCCTGGCTGCATTTCTTCTATCCCTTCCGTCAGTGCTAAGAGTGCTGCTGAGTGCCCCCAAAACTATCCCTTCTCCCAGCTGAGCCATCTGCAGCCTTGAAGCCTCTCCTTGCAAAATCAGAAGCAGTTATGTCAAAAATATTCGGTTGATATATGCTGTAATTGCTCCCTGTGCTTTGTGATCTTTTCTCCTTTGCACTTTGCAGTACTTAGGCAGTGGGCCCTTTTAGACCAGGCATCTTTTAGAAAAACAGCTAATTAGTTCTATCCCCTTTTATTCCTGTAAAAGGAGTTGGTCTCTCATTACTCTGACTCATTGAAAAAAAAAAAAAAAAAGGAATCATAGGGACTTGCAACCTCCACACAGGGGCTCTTGAATGTAGAAAGGTTATCTGACTGTTTAAAGTTAGGTATCAAATCTGTACCAGCATACACAAGGACAGTGTTATCCTCAGAGTAATATTATGTAAAAGTCTGGAGAAGATAAAAATTAAAATACCAGGTTTTTTTACTGTTTCCTTCATGGAGTTTTTAGGTATTTCACTGTACAGAAGATGCATCCTTGTAAAGCTGTAGTAGAGTTCTCCCCTGAAAAATGCCACATTATTATTGTCGCATTCTATTTGTCACACCTGTTCTCAGTGTGTGCTAAGAGGTATTTTCCCCTTAAAAAATAACATGCTACATTTTATTCTCAAACAGCTAGAAATACTGTGGGAAACTGTTGCATACCTTATCAGCAGCACTTAGCAACTGCAAGTAATGTTTCAGAACTTGGGTGCCATAACTATTTTATACAATCCAATGATAGAGTTATATTTTACTGTCTTTTCCCAGTCAGCCTTATTATTTGCTTTAGATTTGAAGACGTAAATGAGGGTAACATTTGGTCTGGATATTTCTGTGACCATTTTGTTCTGGATCATGTCTGTGACCATTACCCGAAATACAACAATGGAGAATGTTCTGGACTAGTGCAATCGAAATTGTGTTTTTACTTCTTGCAATTAGAAAGTCTTGTCACTAGAAATTCGACTATATTGGTAAGAGTACAATTCTTTGAAGCGTAGAAGTATGTCACTAATGAGAACTTAACTGAAGATCTCTTCATTAGGTTATACCTTCTTTAGATTACACAAGCATTCAATATTTATAGTGACTCAAAGAGCAGGACGTGTTTACTGTCTTTTATTTATTAGCTGAGTAAGTAACTTTCATATTTGGAAATGCATGTAATGGTTTTAACACTTTATTCTAGACTATTCCAGCCAATCATATGTTCTAATAGCTTTTCCCCGTATGCACACAAATATATATTTGCAACTGCACATGTAGGTTATTAAATCACTGGTATTTATCACCAGGCATCTCTTCGATTGGTTTTCAGTTTTGTGTGCATTATTTATACTATGAAACATTTATTTGAAACAATTGATAATTTTAACGTGTGAATTAAATGTATCAGTATTCTTTTTCTATGCTCAGACTAATTTATTTTGTAGTACCGTAAATCAATTTGTTTAAGTTCAGTAAGTTAAATAAAAGTAATATTGCGTGAAATATTCAGATAATAGTTTAAAAGGTTTGAAACTGTTGAAGTAGCCAGAGAGATAATAAGCAACACTGCTCAACTTTTTCTTTAGTACCTGGTCAACCACTGAACTTCAAAGCAGAACCTGAGTCTGAAACAAGCATATTGCTTTCCTGGACACCTCCACGCTCTGATACCATTTCCAGCTATGAACTGGTTTACAAAGATGGGGAACATGGGGAGGAGGTAAGTGGCGATAGTACATCTTCCAAATAATCTTTAGTGAGTCAGACATGAAATGCTGCAATGGTTTAAATTTCATGGATTAGTAAGTTTCTTTAGTACAAATGCCTTGATGCTTAAGACTTTGTTAAACCCAAGAGTTAGTCTAGTGGCAGATTGAAAGTGTGTAAACGGATAAAAATGCCATTGGTGGTTACCAGCCAGTGGAATTTTGCTGTAGACAGCAGTGAGTTCTTCACAGAAGTTACATCCAGTTTCAGACATTGATTATGTCTCTCCAAGCCTGTTCCTCTACAAAGGCTTGGAAGCAGAAGTGTTTGGGGGGCGTGTTATGGACCTGTTAAACTTTTTTTGGACTTATACTTGGACATTGAAGTCTATTTTCAGCCTTAGATAATTTTTTTTTCTCTATGCCATCATGTAAGAGAATTCTCAAGCTTTTTTAATCTTTCAGTATTCATTGGGAAGAAGGCATGGGGTTTTTTTCTAAAGGTAAAAACCTACTATGGACTTATTCTGTACCATTATTTCATAAAGAATTTTCAGTTTGAGGGCCTCTGTTGTGTTTGTACTATAATCTTCAGAGTAATTTTCCAATAGGGAAAAATATGATATTATGAGGTGTCCCAGACAAAATAAAGAAGCCAGGAGTGTCAGAAGGCAACAGGAGAGTGTCAGTCTCATTGGTTTCTTCTGCATCATCTGTTCATTGCTAATGCTTCAACTGAGCTTACATTTATGAGAGTTTCACATACACTGTGAATGCATAAACTTAGTGGAAGGGGGCCAGACCTCAAAATTGGATGCAGGCCCCTGCTTAATAAGTTAGCCTTTGGACAATTTTACTTCTTAATGATTTGAAGACAAAATTTAACTACAAGGTTAAACCAAGGATTATTTATACTATAAAATGCTGTAGTTCACTGTTGTAAAAGAGGCTTTGTTCATGTAGTATTGCCTAAAAAGTTTTTTATGCTTAGCTCCTCAAACAGTCAAGTGGTGTTTCTCTGAGTTCTGCCTATTAAACTATTGCCTTTAAAAAATACTGTTCCTTTTTATGTGTTTTTCAAATTAATGTATTAATTTTTAGTTTGGTTTAGTTTGGTTCTGGTTTATTTTCCTTAAGGTTTTCTCTTTATGAAAAAGGTTATTAGTCTGAAAGCATTTCCTCTCTAGGCAACATACAGAATTCAGATTCTGAATAGTAATCAAGACATCCTCTTATGCTTACCTTTAGCAACGGGTTTCCACCGAACCTACTACATCTTACCGTCTACAAGGTTTAAGACCAAACAGCCTCTACTTATTCCGTCTAGCTGCACGCTCTCCTCAAGGCCTGGGTGCTTCAACAGCAGAAATCTCAGCGAGAACCATGCAGTCAAGTAGGTGTCTTTCCTTGCAAGCTTTGTTCTTTTGTCTTGTATTTCTTGAAGAGATTAATCTCATTAGTCCAGAGAGGCATCAATAAGGGCAAAATACAGCATTCATGTTGCTTAATACAGTAAAAGAATGCTTAAAATGTATATTTTTGAGGTGTATTGTGATCAAGTTAATATATGAGTGGCTTTTACATGCCTGTAAATCAGTGCCTAAGGAGGCAATATAATGCTGTCATAATCATATTTTATTTTATGCTCTAATAAGGTAAAATGTTGTATCATGCAATAGGTGTGCATTAATAACAGTTCTTCACCCATAAAATTCCACCAGTCTGCATATTTCCTGCAATACTAGGTTTTTTCTGCAGCATCTCCCTGAAGTACAAAAATATGTAGAGTGGGTCATGTTGAATATTTCAGACTGAACCAAAAATTTCTTAACAGCTCTTCTGTAGTAGCTAATAATTCTGATTTTGTTAGATTTTCTTAATCTGGGCTTTTTACAATGTTCAGTCATTTTAAACCAGTAGAAAAAAAGTTTTCTCACTGATGCTTATGGAAACAGTATCATGAAACTCATCACATTTGCCCCCAAATGAGAGGTAAAAAATTGTCAGGGATTTATATATACACTTTAAAATATTTATATTAAGACTTAACTAAAACAATCAGATACTTAGCAATGATGTCCATAAGTGTTATTTTGCCTGGTAGATTATGCTTTTCCGATAGCTTGCATTATGTGTCATTTTAAAACTTAGTGCAATTCTATTTGTTTGTGTTTTAAATTGAATGGCCTGTTTTTAAAGTAATATTATTCAAAAGAGAAAATTCAGTTTCTCAATTGACATGAGTCTTTTTAATTTGCAGTCACAACAGATATGATTATACAATCATTCCTTGTTAGTGTTATTTATTAATAAGTTAGTGTGACTGGAGACACAGTGCTACACCCTTTAACCAAAGCTAAATGTGTTTTTGAAGCACTTCTAAGGCATTTGGAATAAGCATAAATGACAGCTATATAACAAGGCTGGTTTTAGAGATAGTGGCAAGGCACCTTTTCATTTTAGTAATCAGAATCCAGAATCAATAATTTGATTAAGAAAAACATATTTATTTATTCTAGGAGTCATTTCAACTATTTAGAGTGCTCATTCTCTTATATTGAGTGAAGATTGCTTAGGCTGTGAATACAAAATAAAAATCTAGGAGTCAAGGCTGCATGTTGCATGTGTAAGGACATTGCCCGTTTTCCCTTCTTAAATATAAGAACACATGTTTTTCTCAGCCTTCTATCTTCAGATAGTAAGGAGATATGATTGATTTCAGGGGTCAGACCCAAGTTATTTGCTGAAAATATTACAACCTTTTTTTTGCAAAAAAAAAGTTTATTTTAAGAAAAAAGTATATACATTAATAAAACTGATTACACAAGTAGCCTTCAAATTATCCTTGCTTACATAAGTGCCATGTATTTGCATTTTCAGAGTATAATGAATTAAAAATTAATAAACTTCTATGAGTTTATTAGCAATATTCACCAGAATATGCTATTGCCTTTCATCTTGGTATCAGAGGAAGATGCTGCAGGGATTTATTTCTTTTTTGTCAGACCCTTGAGGGACATTTTGCAAGTATTTTACTTCCTGCACAAGATAATGGTAGAAGGGTATCCACATGTTTTGAGTACTTGATTACTGAATTAGTGTATATGAAAACAATCCCAAATGTGATAAATCTGTCCCCCCATCCATGTCCTCTAGGTAGTTAAAGTACTGGTACATTCCCTCCTAATTTCCCTTCAGAAGAGCAGGGTACCATACTGAGCAAAAAGACATTGTTCCCTGTGGAAAGAGCTGTAGGGAACTGAAAGCTACATATGTAAATACAGGAGGTCACAGCAGGGTCCTAGGCCTTCTCTGTTGTTTTAATTTTGTTTCATCTACCTAATATAAATATAACTATCCATTTTTTTCTTTTTTCCCTTGGAAATGGGAAGAAAATTGGAGGGAGGGGAAAGGCAGGGGGAAATAAAGATCTTACAGAATGAAATTTATGTTTTCCTTACAAGGGAGAAGGCAGAAATAGGAAAGAAATCTGCGTCTGCTCCTTCTGCTAGTGAATTTGAGCTATGGCTCCTTTTTTTTTGGTGCTCTGAATGATCTGTTAGTAAGCATAGATTCTGCTAAGTCAAAGTGCATTTGAGCCCATAAACGCATACCTAACTTTCAGTACTTGATTTGCCTCACTGAACATAGTGAAATGACATACATGCTTCAATGTCCTGGAGCTTGGAAATGGTAAATATGCTAACATGTTCCTTCAAGAACAAGTCAGTAAAGGTGAGCACTTCTGCTGTGAAAGATTGGTGCTGGTGGCAGGAGATGAAACAAAGTCAGAAACTCTCACCATTCTGATGTGCTGAGCTTGTAAACTCTCTTTGTAAAATGAACACCTGCTATACCTGCTTTCTTGATGCATTGTTTGGGGTAGATTTTTTTTTCTGTAGAAGTCATTTATATTACTGGTAGGATTAATTCTTTGCTAGCAAAGGTGTCTCCAAGAGGAGTTAAAAAAATAAAACTGACAGCTGATCTAGGGTAAGTACAAGTTACAGTCAGAATCAACAAGCCTCTCACTTTTTCCTGGTAGGTAAATCTTTGACTAAAACTTTCTTCATCTTCTATGGACTGCATGCTCCTAGTATGTTGGACACAATAAATGTTTCATTAAATGCTTTCTATTTAAATGTAATTTATACTTGACTTGTGTCAGGCAGACTCTGTTATTTAAAAAAAAAAATTGTTTAGGAGTGTGGAAAGGCTGAAAAAATGGCAATCTGTGGAGCAATTTCTAGCAATTACTGCAAGTTTTTAGGAGTTCTGTTAGAAGAGATTTTTTTTCTCAAGGAAAGTAAAGCCACTTGAAGGGGATATGTCCAAATTTGTGAGTAAATATGGGTCACGTGTCATTTAAAAGAGCTTGCACTAATTGCAATGATTATAAGGATAGATCAGTAGTCATAAAAGTGTTACATTTTTGTTTATTTCAAGAAGAATTTTAATTACAGGTAGGTAATATTATTTTGAGGCTTCATTTTCATATATTTCCCCTACATCCTTTTTCACCATTTAGTTGGTCTCTTCATTTTCAGTTTTCTCATGTTAATAAGCCAAGGTGCATATGATTATCTGACGTTTTACTTTTTTAAGTTTCTATTATTTTTTGTTTCTTTATTATTTTCATTTGGTTGTCTTTTATTTATTTTTATTTTTTTCTTTTGTTCATTTTTTTCAATCACTCCTATCCTTCCACTCAAACCCTCCTTTAACCCACTACTGAAATTAGAGCCATCAGCTCCTCCTCAAGACATTAGTTGCACAAGCCCCAGCTCCACTAGCATTTTGGTAAGTTGGAAACCTCCACCGATGGAAAAACAGAACGGCATTATCACTGAATACTCCATCAAGTACATTGGGATTGATGGAGAAGATGTCAAGCCCCATGAAATTTTGGGAATTTCCTCGAACAGTACCCAATACCTTTTGGAACAGCTGGAAAAATGGACTGAGTACCGGATATCCGTGACTGCTCACACTGATGTTGGACCTGGCCCAGAGAGCTTAGCAGTATTGATTCGGACAGATGAAGATGGTATGTTGCCTCCACTACACTGCACCTCTATGACTCTCTGTCGATCTGCTGTCTTTTGTGTAGGATAAACAGTAATTTTTTTTATGCTCCTCTTTTTTACCAAATATAACCAGATATTATCTCCCTTTGGGCTTTTTAATCAAAGACTTGTCCTTTCTACACTATTTTTATTTTTGATATTTTTGTATTTTTTTATCAGAAAGCACTGTTTTTATGAGTGACATGAATTTGCTGCTCCTTTGTGCCCATACATATCCTTCTTGCTCCTTCTTGAACATAAAAATAACTCTCAGGGAAAAAACTTTCTGCCTTTTCCTTGATTTTCCCATCATTGTTATTTTTAAACACTTATGTCTATAAATTTTTTTTCAGGTTTTGTTTTCTTGTGGTTTTTTGTTTTGGTTTTTTTTTAACTGCTTTCTTCTTCCATATTGTGCTTTTTGATTTGGCTTTTTTTGGGAGGGGATTTTTTTTTTGGTTGGATTTTTTTGTTTGTTTTTTGATCTGGAAACTGATGCTCCACACATTTTCTTTTCTTCCATTCTTGAAAGTGACAGAAGACAGCCTTGTTATCAACCTCCTTTTTATACTACTGAGGAAAACAAAACAAAACAAAACAAAACATAGAACTTGGTGAACAAAAACAAGAGAAACTTTTTTTGAAATCTTTTGTGGTTTTGTTGTTGTTATTGTAGTATTATTATTTCAGTGATTAATCTCTTTGTACTATAATGCTTTGAATCTCAAAGCATCTTCCTTGGCTTTTGTACATTTTTACATGTTTTTCTATTTCTCTAATACTCCTTTTTCTTCCATTTTTTGCATCAGTCATGTTTTTTGATCTTTTCGCTGAAAGGTAGAGCAGATTGGTTGAGCAGTTTCATTTGTTGAATGTTTTGTATTCTTCAAAGAGTGAGTCTGCCCTTTTTTAAGAAAAAGAAAAAGCCATGGGTGGGAGAGGTGCCTGTAATTCTCTTCTGTCCAATGATGTTGTTCCAGTTCCTAGTGGTCCTCCTCGCAAAGTCGAGGTAGAGGCTCTCAACTCCACTGCTGTTAAAGTGTCATGGCGCTCGCCTGTGCCCAATAAGCAGCATGGTCAGATCCGAGGATACCAGGTCCACTACGTGAGGATGGAAAATGGAGAGCCAAAGGGTCAACCCATGCTGAAGGACATCATGCTGGCTGATGCACAGGTAGTTTGAGCACTTAATGTTCTTTTCTAGGTCACGGTGAAGAGATTTAATGTACCAGAGGGCTATCCAGAACCATCTTGGTGTTGTTTGTGTGTGGGTTTTTTTCTTTCTATTTATCAGCCTACTAGCTAACATTTTCTGTTTCTATTTTAAAAACTTTTATTAGAACACTTACTTTTAAAGGTTCTTGGGCCAAACCTAGGCACCTTTTTCTCTGCTGGTCTACAACTAAAAGCTAAGATGTGTCGTTCTTCTGGTTCTCCTAAACCTAGAGAGTGATGGACACCCTGTACCTATGCTCTGAAGTTTTAAAGCATCAGGGTGGTCTGACACAGGTCACATTCAGTGTAGTTAGTTGTGCATGGCCTGTTCCACCCATCTGCTATTGCGTTGTTTCAGTGGAGAGCATAAAATCATTAGAAGCCTGCGTTAGCCTATTGTTACAGTGTTTGTGTGATTAGCTTGTCTGCACCTCGCCACACATTCCGCAAGAAATGAATTTTCTTAATGCACCTTTGGAAAACCACTGAGTATTTATAGCTTTCGTTATTTGTAACTGTAATAAAATGAGGAGCTTAGTTTAAGTAGGCATGTGGTTATTTATATTGCAAAATTTTCCGTGTTTTAAAAATTATGAGATAATGAGATTATGAGGTGATGGAAACATCAAGTTTAAAAAGCTTCTGAAACTAGGATTTTATTGATGGATGCAAGTGTTCTGCAAAACTTAAGATTTCCAAAGCTTCTGATACTAGAGGAGTCATCTTATGTTGAAACTATTATCAAGTACACACCTCTCACTCCTAGTCCATGGCTTATGACTGGACTGACTGGAAATTGAAAGAAATTATCAGCCTAAATTAAAGAGTTAAATCTGCTTCTTAAGTATTTTATGTGAGTAAATATATAGGGGTGTTGTTTTTTTTTTTCCTCCCAGTCTGAGTTCTAAATTTCAGTTCTACGGAGACCTTTTTTAAGAATAGGTTTTCTACACCTGTGTTTTGTTGATGATCCTTTTCTCAAAATACTGTCTCTGTGTCTGGACGTCTTTGTTTCAGTTTTACCTGCCAGTACTTATTTAACTATTTTGCAAAACATGGTGTTCTTAAAGCTTAAATGCAGTGGAGAGAAAGATGTAAGTGGATCAGGAAGTGGGAAGGGAAAGGGAAAAGGAAGAGAAGGTAGAAAAAGACATGCTAGTGTGCTCTGGTTCTCCCCTTCCTTGCACAAATTTTTACTTTCAACCTCTCTGATTTTAAGCAGTTTTAAACAGAAAGTTAGTAGCTGGAGACTAGGTGAGATATTTGAGCCCAAATATCATAAAGGCAAAAGTTGTATTTCTTCTTCATCAAGTTTGGCTTTGACCTGCCTGTTTGCCATTGTTTCATGCTGGATAGTCAACTACTTTCTCTTCCTGCCACTCCTTCCCACCTATCATACTTCTGCTATGCATGAAATCAGGGCTTGTGCAGGTGTGAAGACCCTCAGGGTAAAATATCAGTGTAGTTAGGTTTCAGGATTTAAAAATCCTACTATTAATTTAAATAATGCGTTGCATTATTTTAGGAAACTGAAGCATATAACCTGGTAAATTGATTTACTAATCCAGGCAGCCTTTAAATCTGCCTTGGTAACTTTTAAAACAAACTATTACAAAATAATACTACGTGGTACAAGAGAATTCGTTACTTTCTTTATTTGTCAAGGAAAGATAAGTAGCTGGTTTTTAAGGAAAGCAGAAACGGAATTAAAAATGTCCAGCCTGATTTCATTAACCTAATTCCATGTGATTCTACACAGTTCATTCAAACTGTAAATGATTTTTTGAGACATCTTTCATATTTATTGTACTATTAAGAAGAAAACTTTATCTCAACCAGGCTACAAACCTCCTTATTTCTTTTGTTTTTCCCTTCAACTTCCTTTACTCTAAATCAGTGGGAATATGATGATACTACTGAACATGTAAGTAGTTTTTGAGTGGGCAGAAAAACCTTGTGGGTTTGGTTTGGAATTTTCTTTTGCTTGCTTGTTTGCTTGTAGCATCATTCTAATTTCTTGAGCTTTCTTTGGGGGATTTTTTGTGTTTGGTTTTGGTTTTGTTTTTTTGTCACTTGCACAAACGCATGCTCCTAACATCAAAGGTTTTCTTTTGTGACGCTTTTTTTGGGTTTGTTTTATTTTGTTTTGTTTTGTTTTTTTCCCAAGGAGAGAGGGAGACTATTGCTTGCTTATTCTGAAGTTTATCATGATGCCAAAACGTACAGCACTGTTTTGTGTTTTCATCTTTTTGATGGTTGTCACTAAGTTTGCCTCACAATTTCTTCTTTGTGAGGTGTTAGAAAAATAAAACAGAAGTGGTTCAGAGTTGCATACCAATCCTTGTATTTTTCTGTATTCATTTTCAGGTTAACAGTTTTTTTGTGTAACTTAAAGCTGAAGTCAGTTGTGCTTTCTTTTGGGTAAAATAAATGTATGCTATCAGAAAAGCCAGATGCCATGCACTTTTTATGCCTGAGTAATAGGGTTTGCTGTATCCAAGTCACACTTTTAAACATGCAGTCATATCTCTTCCATCATGAAGAACTGGTTGGTTTATGTGAGGCTAATATCATCATTGTTTGGTTTGGGGTGTTTTTATGCCTTTTAGTTTCATTTTTTAATATCAGGTGCAATTTCCTTATGAAAGATGTGAAGTCTGTCTTACTGTTTTTGGCCTTAAGGATCAATTCAATTCTGAGATAGAGTCTAAGGAGGGGATTTTTGGTAGTAATTTTTTATTGGAGCTATTTTGCCCACTCATTCTAATCATTACCTTGTTTTCTCTATATTGCCAATAACTGATTGTAAATACGATGTTGAATTCTAATCACATCTTTTAGTAAGCTCATACCCCCTGTCTTGAGAAATTCATATACTAGGAAAAATCTAACCCATAATTTTTGTGGTAACTTTTCATAGCTGTTGCATCTGAGGGATGTGTGATTGCACATTAGCTCTTTATTCTATGTGCATAAATACACCATCTCTCTGGCAGCATTGAAGTTTAGTGTAAATTCATTCAGGCGTCTGGAAATACAAAGGAGTAGTCCAGTGCTTACAGGCTAGAAGCTGGGAACTTAAAGCCAGTCAGTTCTCTCCGAATAGTGTCCCTTTATATTTGCATATGAAGTTTATTTATATAATGCATTTCAAGACCTAGTCCTCTTATTGCCCTTATAGCTTGACATAAGTTTAGTGCATTTCTGGTGGTTCACCCATCTTCTGTTTGCATATATGTGTGTGTGCGCACCCATGTGTGAAAAGGATCCCCCTTTGCTTTGATACTTGCAGTTTGATTTTGTTGCTGGTCATTTGTACTAGCTGAAGAGCTACTTGTTTTGTAGCTGCTGCTGTTGTTTGTTTGAGGGCCATCAGATGTATCCTCTGACCAGATTTTTAATGCTGTTTGAGGTAACTCTTTTAGAGCTGAAGAGGGAGTCATTTCTGAAGTCCTTTGAGATATTTAGAGACATAGTCCAACCAGTGACACTGGGTGCAATGAAAGTAATAAGGCTTCCTTGTTCAGCTAAACCATCCTTACTGACAGAGTGTGGATATAAATGCAACACTTTTCTTGCTAGGCATTTTAGAACTATGTCAGTGATATCATGTGAATGACTAAGTGATACTGAGTTTCTCATATCTACAAATGCATGCATTTCACAATGTCAGTAGTATGGCTTATGCAAGATATATGAGAAGACTTTACTCACTGTTCACACCACTAAGCCTTTGACCTTCTTCTTTAAAGTATGTGGGGCATATTATTTGGATGTGCGCTGTCTTTTATTGCTTCAGTGAGTGACAAGTTTTGCATTATGAAGTATTTCACACAGAACAGCAAATGCTTGCTGTCACAGCTAGTAGCTCAAATATATACACACTGTGTGTAATATAAAGAGGGTTTCTGAAGGATTCCATACTGTCTTGGCAAACAATCTATTATTAATTCATTTTTCTTGTTCTGTTTCATCTTAGGAAATGATAATTTCTGGGCTTCAGCCTGAAACTACATACTCTTTCACTGTGACGGCCTATACAACGAAAGGGGATGGAGCACGCAGCAAGCCCAGGCTCGTATCTACTACTGGTGCAGGTAATATTTATACACACATTAATCTCTAAGTGAATTCTTTGACTTTTTCTGCTAGTGTTTTGCTCCTATTATTTGAAAGTCTCCTATTGTGTGAAAAGTATTTCTAGGACATAGCATTTTATGTTTCAGTATTTGGCCTTTCATTTATATAGATAAAAACAGAACCCTTTTTCCTTTACAATTCAAGATGAGGCCAATTTATAGTTTTTAGTAACTCTTCCATTATGATTTGTGTCTTCTTGGAGAGGAAAAAATAGAAATTCAGAGCTGAGAAGGATATTTGAAAAATTTGTGAAGGGCTTTCCTGTTTTCTTTCATGAGAGCAGCAACACTGCTGCCTGTAAGTAAAAACATTGAAAGAAACTATCTCCATGATAGTCACAAGTTATCTCAGAAGAATGTGATTATTAAAACAGAGAATTGGAAAATAAAATGAAAGATGATCCTGTAAAACCCCACAACCCATACAGATTCATGGATAATTTAAGGCACAAGCTGAGGCAAAATACACGATGCCACTGTCTTCAGTCTGTGTTTGATCACAGTGGTACTAGATGGTGAATATCTGACTGCATAACCAATTCAGCAGGTTAGCACTGATGGAATGAACCAAATTGTTTTTAGATGAAGAACAATTTTACTTTTTTTTAACTTAAATGCTTCACTGTGGCACAGCTTAACCAATTGATACCACCACAGCTTTGTGTGGTGTTCACCTACAGTTATTCCAGTCTGTAGGTATAGTGTTCATTTTAAGGGGCTTGTAATTCAGCCATTAGGGATATTCCATAACAATCGTGTGTAGCTCCATTACAAGCTCTCTTAATAACAAGGTATTTTTTATACTAATAGATAAAGTCCAAAAGGCATATGTATTTGTATTTATAGGGACTGATTCCATTTTTAAAACCATCACTGAATGTAAAACACATCTTGTATTAATATGAAAAACATGTATATCTTTGTCTGATTCTGGAAGAATCTAGGTCCTGATGACTAGATATATAATATAGTTTCATTTCAGATTTTAGAATACCTTGCATTGCTCTTGGCTAATGCGGAAACTTACCCTCTAATTGCCTATCTTTGCTGGATTCTCATAGTCTGGGTAAAAAAAAAGATATATACTTCTTGCTTGCATTTGAACTTGATTTCAGAAAAAGGAACTTCCTCCATTATTCTTTTTTTAGGTTTGGTTCCCAATTTAAATAAACACAATTATATAAATTAAAATTTGATTAGTTTCAAGACACAAACATAGGGTATGCAAACATGCTTGCAAAATTTAATGCTTCACTGCATTTAATCCTTATTGACTATTCATGTTTCACTCTTCCAAGACCTCTCTACTGCTTCTACTCTAAAAATATGGAACAAATCCTATATCCCATATAAACCTGAGTGACTGAAGAGCAGTAGAAAATCAGAGGCATGTCTGTAAACGTAATACATATACATTGTTCTTGCTGTTTGCTTAACCCTTTGGAAAAGGAATGTTTTTTCTTGATATGTAGGATAACAGCTAGATGCCATTTTGCTGCTTTGTATATACCAGATTGTATGGACATCTAAGCAGCTGGTACAGCTTGCTGTGGTTGAGCTCTTTTTGTAAGGAAAATTCATATGCAGTTTTTTGCAAAAGAAGATATTAAATATAGCTAGTGCCGAGAGTTTCTTGCTCACTGTCTTTCTATGAGAATACATCACACAAGTGAAGGAAAGATGCATTTATGCCAAGGGATTATAGGTCCTCCCATTCTCTTTGAGTTTCCATTTGTTTTCTTTTTTTTTCTAAAAAGGTGCTATTTAAATACAATAGGGAGTCTGACTTTTTAGTCTAACTTTTAAAGTTTGAGGTCAGATGTATTAGAATGAGTGAGATTATATCCACAGGAGATATGAAAAATGAATAGATGTCTGAACGTTTACTGGATAAGATTGTGATCTGTAGGCTATTCAGATAATAAGTAACTATTTAGCTGTGTCCAGTTACTAATATAAAAGCTTAATTTACATTTTTAGGCAGGAAAAATTCATCAAATATAAGTAAGCCTACAGTACAGTAGGTCAGTTATTAGTAAAGTCACTGAATGCTATTTTCACTTCAAAGTGTGCATTTTGTCTTATATTCCATTTCCTTTCCTTGTTATTGAAATCAGATGGAAGAAAAAGTGTTACTGAACATTTCTAAATCAAAGTACTTGAAAATTTTAAATTACTTGGGGAAAAATGTGTGATTAATAAGACCTTGATAAAAATGAAGACTTCCTAGACAATTATATCATACAATTTTTATCAAGTTTTTAATCAGATCTTTAATTTCTGTGTCGGAGTAGTTTAAGAATCTAAGTACAATAGCTTGTCCATTTGGTATTTGGTCTTATGCTGGACAGAAGTCTTGAAATACAGATTTCAGCTAAAAGAAGAAAATTCATGTTGAAGTAGTGGTGTACTTTATAGCAGCTAATAGAAACAAATTATTTCAGGTAATTTGGCAAAGGCAGCTTGTATGAGGTACTACTAGCAATGGCACACCATTGCAACTGTAATGTCTGTGGCAAAGGGGTATGTGTGGTATGTCTTGCTGTGTATTATTTGAAGAGGATTTCACTAGGTCAGAAAATTATTTTTTTAATGGACAATTTCTCTTCTTTTGGGCTCATGGAAAATTCAGGTTATTATCAGAAGTTTCTAGGTAGAGCCATTTCATTACACAGCCATATGCAGGACTTCATAGAATCCTGCTGTTCATCCTAAAAGACTGTAATATTCACAAGTGATCATACTAAAAGTAAATGTCAACTGAAAACTGTGTGGAAATAAAAAGAAATTTATCCACTTTGCAACATCAGATAGGCTCTATAGTTAAAAAAAAGTGGCTATTATTATATACCATTTTAGTCACGTGGTATTTTATTGCATAAATAAGCTTTATTAGTTCCCCATTATGATCAAGAGCAAGCAGTAATTTCTTTCTTTCTCTATAGTTACCACAAAGGTTAAAAAGCAGTTCTAATTATGACGTCTGCCACAAGAAAAAAAAAAGGCAATTTATCACAAAAAATAATTTAGTAATACCTTCAAGCAGTCTCTCCTCTAGAAGGCTGAAAGGGTTTTTTATTCTCTTTGTGCGAATTCTTCTATTCTTTCCTGTGCTACATTGGTGTCAATAATAGTTATAATGCAGTGAAAAATATGGCGTGCAAAAGACCTTCCCAGTCTTTTATTTGTTCCATAAAGGCTTGTAATTATCAGTGAGGAAAATTCAGAACTAATCAGATAGATATTCTTTACACACCAGAAAGTGTGGGAAAAAATTCATAAGATTCATGGGAATAATGCTGCCAAATGAACTAGAGATTTAAAATTTAGGGTATTTGGAAAATTTATAAAACCTATCTATAATTCTTATGAAATTAGAAGCAGTGTCATGATTTATGACATGTAATGAGAAAGGAGCTTACTAAATGCAGAATTTTCTTCAAGGCATGCCATTCTTCCCACCTTATTCCTAATTCATTATGGGATAGTAGTCAGAACTTCTGACAATAACAATCTGATTGCTGGGTGCCTAAGAACTGAAGATGAGTAATAAAATCTATTGAAGTGTTTAAATACAGGAACCAGAGCTCACAGTGCAGCAGTTACATTCATGTGGGAAGGCTTCAAATGCAGATGAAGCTAATTAGTCTTCACTGAAGACTTCCGTTATCAGTGCCCTACTACTCCCAAAGTTATTCCAGTCTCTTGACCTGTCAGGCATTGGTACACAATGAATACCACATTTCTAAATAGTTATGGGTGTGTTTCAGTATCAAGTAAGTAATTGTAATAGAAACAGACTATGTTGAAATAGAAATATTAATGAAAATATAAATGAACTGTATATAAATGGATGTGAATAAATTAAAATTAATTACTCAATTAAATATAAACTGTATAAATTGTGTAATGGGATTTCTGCCTCTGTTAAGACTAACTCAATCCTCTAGGCTGAATGTCCTTGCCACAGTTGCAGTCTGAACTTCTCTGAAAGACAAATCAGCAGTTTAGACCAATGGGTCCTGATTAAGAATATGAGTGTATTTGGTGTGCAGGTTAAGAAGAGCTACTGGTTTAATCTTCTTCAGAAGAAATCCAGTTCATGTGCACCAAGACTATGCTGGAAAATAAACCATAAGCCAAGGCAATCAAAACATAAATGTCAAACTGTGCTACCTCTTCAAGCTGAAACAGCTCATGCTGGAGGTGACTTTTGAATGGAAAGTAGAACTATAGGTTTCTATCATATGTAGCAATGATTCTTGAGAAGAAGGTTGTTCTGACATCCTTTCTACCACATTTTAACTATCAATATTAAAAATTATATTAGATATATCTAGAAACCTGTAATTTCTTCATTATTATTATTATTATTACTACTACTACTAGTATAATTAGTTATTTCCCTGTTTACAGGAAATGCCTCGGATTAGATTAATAAAAACTTATGAGAAAGGGTTTTTTTCAAGAAAGGATTTGTAACTGAGACAGAACCACTTCTAAGAAGTCTGCTTGAAGTTTTACTTCTTGATTTGTGTTCCTGGGTCCTGTGTCTCTGAATGCTCTCTGTATTTAGAAATAATAGTAAGGGAAGAAGACAAAAAAGCAGTAAACATCTCTACTGTTGCAGTTCATTATACTGTATGACTTAATTGTGTGGGAGGCAGACATTATTTCTTCCGTAAGACAGTGGAGCTAGGAGTGAGGGAAGAGAAAATGTATCCCTATTCTGGGTAAAACTAGCCTCAAGAATTGTACATGTAATTTTGTTTCTATTTATCATCTGTAAATAACATTGTGCTACAGTTCCAGGCAAACCTCGACTTGTGATTAGCCACACACAGATGAATACGGCTCTAATTCAGTGGCATCCTCCTGTGGAAACTTTTGGCCCACTGCAGGGTTATCGCCTGAAGTTTGGCCGCAAAGACGTGGATACATTTACAACCATGGAGTTCTCAGAGAAGGAAGATCACTTCACAGCCACAGACATTCACAAAGGAGCTTCTTATGTCTTCAGGCTCTCAGCTAGAAATAAAGTGGGCTTTGGGGAGGAGATGGTTAAAGAGATTTCTGTTCCTGAAGAGGTGCCCAGTGGATTTCCCCAAAATCTCCACTCGGAAAGCTCTACTTCTACATCAGTTCAATTAACTTGGCAGATGCCACTCTTGGCAGAGAGAAATGGCATTATCACCAAATATACCATCTTGTACAGAGATATCAATGTTGCTTACCAGCCAGTTGAAGTCCCTGTTGTTCCTGCTGATACCACTTTGACACTTTCTGGCTTAAAACCAGATACCACATATGATGTAAAAGTACGTGCCCACACAAGCAAAGGGCCTGGTCCATATAGTCCAAGTGTCCAGTTCAGGACACTGCCCGTGGATCAAGGTAGGATTTGTCTGCTTATGGCGTTGACCTTTAAAGGAGTATCGGTCTTTGGATATCAGTGGTTTTGAAGGTATAAATAAATCTGACCAGCCCATTCATAAAAATAGGTTCATCAAACACAAAAGGTAAAGTATGTGAATCTTAATATGTTTTGGATGCCTTAGAATTCAATTGTCCCTTACCAAGCAAGTTCTGGCTAACATCTCCACAGTTTTTTCAGGTAAGGAAGTGTGTATTGCATTGTCACTAGATGCAAGAGTGAGAGTGAGTTAAATGTGATCTTTATATATGAACAGACAGGTAGGAGAATCGAATCCTTGTTGGTTTTTGACCTAAATGGAAAGCTAATAGTCCCAAGTAGCAGTGGAAATACGGCAAGATGTAAGCACCAAGATATTGTTTATATACATTGTTTCTTTCTTTCCAGCAGTGTTTGCAAAAAATTTTCATGTTAAAGCAGTAATGAAGACTTCTGTTTTGTTGTCCTGGGAAATTCCAGAAAACTACAATTCAGCCTTGCCGTTCAAAGTAAGTTACTTCCCATTTGTACAAGAGAAAATAACAGAAACTAGAGAATGTCTTTCATCTGATTAAGTAGCTTACTGAACATTGAGGGGTTTTTTGTATTAATATGGCTCTGTTTAAGATTACATACTAATCAGCAGTGCTACTGCTAAATTTAGTCATGTGGCAATATGATTTTCTACTATTGTAGCAGTATTTCCAAGTCAGACTCATACTGGTTAATATGCATGATAAGAACACTTTGCTAATTTGTAGTTCATTCCTAAAATATTTCAAAGAAAACAGTGAGAGAAAATACTACTTTTCTTCCCTTTTTTTTTAGTAATTTCTGTATTGACTGCAGTTGAATACTATTTTGATTTTTACATCCTCACATTTACAACAACGCATTTTTACTTTTTCCATTCCTGAATTCAGTGTGACAGCATCATTTGCCTTTTCTTAGTAATGAAAACCACCTTCAATTTAATGTGTATTAACTTAGATCCTTTATGATGATGGGAAAATGGAAGTTGATGGACGTGCTACTCAAAAGCTGATCACTAACTTGAAGCCAGAGACATCATACTCATTTGTGTTGACAAACAGAGGAAATAGTGCTGGGGGTCTTCAGCACAGAGTGACAGCAAAGACGGCACCAGATGTGCTTCGCACAAAGCCAGTCTTCATCGGAAAGACCAACTTAGATGGCATGATAACTGTGGAACTTCCAGAAGTACCCTCAAATGAGAATATAAAGTGAGTGAATGAACTACGTACCACTGTTTTTATTTCCAGAAAATGATTATTCTAACTCTCTTATTCTTCATAATGGTACAGAGATTACAATACTCTGCAGTAGTATTTGAACTAATACCGGGGTAATATTTGATCATTGTAAACTTGGAGGTGCTATTGACTTTCTAAAGGGACAAGAGGCCTTCCAGAGGGGTGTAGGTAGATTGAGCACTGGGCAATCAGCAATGGCATGAAATTTAACAAGAACAAATGCCACACTCTTTTGTAAAGGTTCTTGAGTGTATCCAGCAGAGGGAAACAAAGGTGGAAGGACTGGATACCATACCCTATGAGGAGCTGCTAAAGACTGACTTAGGGCTTTTCTAGTCTGGAGAAAAGGAGGCTGAGAGCTCACGTCCTTGCTTCCTGAGGAGGAAAAGTGGAGAGAGAGCTGCTAATTGATTCTGGTATCCATTTGTAGGACATGAGCCTCAGAGCTGCATGTCAGGCAGGGGAGGTTCAGATGGCATTAGAAAGCATTTCTTTACTTGAGGGGGTTTTCAAACACTGGAACTGGCTTTCTACTGAGGTTATTAATGTCTCAGGCATGTCAGTATTTAAGAGGCATTTGGACAACACCCTTAATAATTTTTTTTTTAACTTTTGGTCAGGCCTGAAGTGGTTAGGTGGTAGGATTAGACAATCATTGTAGGTCACTTCCAACTAGAAGTATTCTGTCGGTTTGTCACATAGCCAGGTATGTAAGACCTGTATGGAGAATGTAGATTTTTCTACATACATTCATACAAAATAGTACTTTTGTGTTTCATCACTGACTGCAAAATGAGGTATGCAGAAAACCAGTTATATTCTTTCTGAAAGAATGAATTATCCATCAATGAATACCCTGTTGTAGCTACTTGAAGTACTCAGACTCAGTCATTCCAGAATGACTCCATTATGTGGAGTTTTAAAGAATTGTTGCTGTACTTATATTAACTCAGATTAATTAATTCTGAAGTTTTTATCAAGAGAAAAATTCCAGGTCCTCTCCAATGGTCTCAGAAACAAAACAAGAGATTTTGCTGAAAAAATGGGGAGTTTCCTAGAGGTTGCTTAGTTTCTGGGGGGGAACAGGTGCTGTGGAAATGTAAACAGCAGAGATAAAGACCTGACAGCACATGGTCAGCAGGGATTAGAAAGGTTAGACATAAAGATTTACCAGGAAAACATGAAGCGTGGTACAATCAATAAATGTTATTGCTCTGCTTATAGTGATTCTTGTTGGTCTGTAAGGTTCCCATGTGTAATGTAAAGGAAATGGGGAGGAAAATGAGCCAGTCATTAAATATTGTTGGGGATTCAACTTGTCCTCTCCCTGGTGGATTTTTACTGATGGCTTTGTAGAAAGCTACCCTCCTTTTTCATTACTGACTGAGGGTTTTGAGGCAGGTAAGGTCAAGAAATAAATGACTTTGAGACATTAAAAGGATGAAAAACAGAAAAATGTAGTCATTATCATTAGATTGAGTAAGATGCGGTCAGTAACAAATGCTGCTAAGGAAGACTGAAGATGGAATGAGTCAAAAAAGATTTATGAGGCAAAACATTCACAGAGAAAAAAATGCAGAATAGCTAGTCAAACAGTAGCAGAAGATAGCAGTGAAAAAAGATACAATACCCTTCTTTTTACGTACTGTAAAAAAAATAAAGAGGCAAAGTGACATCAGCAGAAGTCCATTATAGGATCCAACTGCTGATTTTGCAAATAATATATCTCCTCCTTCTGTATCTATTTTCTAAGAAGATTTGATCAGGTTTGAAGTAGTAAAACAAAACAACAAAGATTCGTTTGACCCTTGGATCATTACAAAGCAGCTACAGACTGAACAGAAAAACTTGATGTGATGCTTGTTAGAAGAAGTGATATTATTCTGCTGTAATCTTTGTATGGAAAGAACAATTTTCTGTAGTAGTTATGTTGACATTTTTAGACTTACTTTTCCTCTTTTTGTACATTATGTGCTCAGGATTATCTCTAGCTTATGATGAAGTGCTGAGAATTTTTCAATAACACTAATTACACAGAAGGTGAAACAGGTAATAGTTTACTCTAATGAACTATAGGTAAATACTAATGAGATTGAGGGTAATGTTATAAAAGGTTTTGTAATTAAAAATGGTAGTAGTTGTCAGTGTTTCATGGTGATACATAATAGAAATTGGTGCAGAGCTCACTTCATGATTAGTAAAATATCTCTTTTGCTGGCATTACCTCAAGCCAGCAATTTCTTAATTTTTTCCTATTATTGTTTTGATCTAATCCAAAACAATTTTTATGTGCAAAGGATGGTTCATGTTTCTCTGAATCTCTTCCATCTTTCCAGAGGTTTAGGTAAAAAAAATGTTATGTAGAAGACTTTGGCCTTCAAAATATTCAGTAGATCAGTCAATATCCAAACCAACCCTTCATTTCTCACCTTCCTCTCTTCCTGTCCCACCCCCAAAAATTCTTAAAAACAAAGAAGCGAATTATGAAGGAAACTATAAAACTTGTTTTTCAAGAGATGCTGCATCTTCTGTGGTTAGCTGGAAATCAAAGAACTTTGTTGTCCTTCACAATTTGCAGCACTGTATATTGGTGTAAACATTTTCATTTTTCTGCTTACTGTTGATCTACTTGTTCTTTCAGCATAAAATACTCTGAGTGTGCTGAAAGTCTTAGTAGATGTTCAAAGTTATGAGTGGGAGACTTGGATGAAGGAATTGAGTAAGAGTGTGAAAGTAACATTTACATGCTGGAAGTTCCTTGATTGAAAAAAATTGAAAGATGAAGAAGATGAAAAAAAACAAGGATACGTGAGAGACTGTTATGCAGTTCATCCAGCAGATTTATGTTTAATGTCTGAAAGACATAAAGGAGCCAGTTCTCAATTGTTTTCTGTCTTGATTCTTAGGCATCTGTTAAAGGTTATGTGTAGGTTGTGCTTACTATATATATGGATAAATCAGTGTTCACTAGGATTTGTTATTCATGTAACCAAAGAATTTTTAATACATTTACATAGAAAACTTTCTCAAATTTCTTAACACAAGAATTAATGAATATGTGCACTTACTGTAGTAGCTGAAAATCCAAAGTTTTGTTACATTTCTTTTATAAAAAGGAGCTTTAAGTAGGAAGAGCTGATTAAAATGGATCAATGGGTTGCAATGATATGGAAAACGATAGTTTATATAGTTTGTTTAGACTGAGTTCTTCAGTCAATTGTAAGGCAGCTCCTTTTCTGTAGACTGTCTTTTGTTAATTACCTAGGATTTTCAAGTGCATTGCATGAGTAAAATAGTCAGTACTGCAGAAGGTTGAATGGGCTGTAAAAAAGAGGCAGACTGGAAGAGGAGATGGTCCATGAGACACTGAAGTTGTCTTCCATAATGGAGAGCCAGAAACAGCGTAATAAGCTGTTGTTACTAGAAACAAAGAAAACCAGCTTCTTTCTCTCTTCTCTGTGATGGAGAATGCTTGACTTTTTGAAAAGTGTGTTTATCAAGAAGATGTACATTACACTATCCTGGATGTCCTGATGTTGTGATTCTACTGCTTTTTCCCTCACACTAATGTGAAATTATGTATCTGCTTGACATAAATCGAGGCTTTTTGAAGCAAACAAGGAAAGTACCAGATCCCTATTTTACTAGAAAGTATAATTTACTAGTCTCCATGGGTGGGGAGGAGGAAGACATTTTCAGAAAAATGTGTCTGAAGAAAACCAATATATGTAATTTGCAAATCCTAGCTATAAAGAGAGCATAAATCAAGCTCTCTGGCCTATGACTGTGAACAGAATACTTAAGTAGATAAAGCTGATGGCAATTGCTACTCAAAAGTAAAGAGAGTATGGGTGAAGTATATGCCATGTTTTCTTTCTTTTCATGGTAATATTGACATCAACAAACACATTATGTTAACCTACTATACAGATTATACATTAAAATGGGGGAAGATGGGATGGTAATTGAGATGTAAATATATGGTAATAGGTTTCAATTTAGGGGCTTGGTTTTGTGGGGTTTTTTTTCCAGTGTGATGGTGGAAGGGCACAAATATCCCATGGCTCTTGTATCTCAGGAAGGCATTTTAGAACATTGTAATTAAAGTTTATTATAAATATTTATATATTTGCACAAAAAGTCAGGTAAATGGTGCCATTTGTTTGTCAAATGTTTTACAGTTGATGTGTTTTCAAGAGTATGAATGTTTACAGCTGTTTGGAAGGCTGCAGTGACATATTAATGTGCAAAAGTTTATTCTCAACATACCAAGTGTTCTCTTAAGTTACAGTGAAGTTACCTATTCCACCAATTTGTTTATTCCTTTTCCTTCAAATTCACTTTTGTCCAACTGTTTCATTTACAGAGGCTATTATATAGTTATTGTGCCTTTGAAGAGGTCTCGTGGAAAGTTTATCAAACCATGGGAAAGTCCAGATGAAATGGAACTAGATGAGGTACTGTATGTGGATGGGGGGGAGGGCGGGATTTCTTCTCCTTTATTAAAGAAACAATATTAGTTGTATGTGATTAACTCATCAGTTTTAAAAGTTTTGGTTGTCAAGATAATTTATACTTGAATTAGCCTGTGGGGACTGAAACAAAAGTTTGAATTACAAAAATGAGAAGACAGTAAAGACATTAAGTTGCTATAAAGCACACGATGTGTCTAATATTTATTGACATTAATATTTTATTCTTTTCCTGTTTTAAAGAGTGATGCAAAAGAGCAGGAGGTGAAATGAGTTGTCAGCAAAAGCTTAATCACCAATGATACAAACCCTAATAAAGGTCTGGTTCATTAGTGCGGTGTTTACTAAGCCTGTAACAAATGCTAAATTGAAATTTGCACTGTGGTTTAACATTTGACCTTCTATTGGTGTTTTTATCTGAATTTCACATACCGTAATACTTCTGGTTAGAAGTAGCCTCCATTCTACCAACAATTTGTGCTCAGCAATAAATGAATGAATGAAGTAGGAAAGAACAGTCATCATTTGACACTGTAAATGACACTAACCCAAAGGGCACAAGTACTTTGGTTTTTAATATATAAACCCAATAATACTAAAAATCAATTCAGTATGTTATTGATATAATAATAATTCCAGGAAGTATTGTGTCAGCATTCAGCCCTGTGTTCTGTTTTACTCAAGGACAGTATAGGAACTTGTCTTTCTCCTTTCAATATGTAAATTTGGAAGAGTACTAATATTTATGATTGTAAAGCTCTTTTGAGGGTTCCATATGAAAGGCTTGTATAAAAGACAGGCAGTGATGTTATTTTTGCAATATAGGATATAAAGGATTTTCAGATACTATGGTAATTTGTACGTGTAATATCTGTGCAGTTCAAAGACCTAAGTCAGGGTTTTTACTCTTGATTTCACTATCTTTTGACTGGATCCCATTTCTTTTGGGGGATTCCAGATTGTTACGTAATGGAGATGCTTCACCATATGCTTCCCCATAAGAAAATTACTGGGAAGTGGTGATCACCTGTGAGCAACCACAAAGGTTTTTTTTCTCTCCTAACATGGGTAAAATGGATATAAATTTCAAAGTTTGCACCAACATGTAGGGAAAACAAAGATTTTCTAGTAGAAAGTTTTCAAAATCTAAACCAAGTTCTTTCAGTCTTTATCACAGCACCAGGTGAATCCTTAATCAGAAGATTAAAAATGATTGTTCAGAGAATGACATGATGACTGACTGATCAAACCCTGTGTTTTTTCTTGACCAGAATCATTTATGTCACCATCTGACTTCATTCAAATTGCAGCAATGACTTGCTTTGATCTATTAACTTCTTCTCTTTAAAAGAACTTGGGTTGTAAATGCCATCAGCTCATGATCATGGTCATAGGGGACATCAAATAACAGCTAAACAGTAAAACTCTGACAGCAAGATCATACAATAATGGAAACTGATTTCATACTACCACCCACTTTTAACATCCAAAGACTGTAGTCACATTCAACAGCATTAACAGATTAAAGGATAAGTGCCAAATGACATTGAACTTTTTGGCAATTAAATTCTACAGTTCCTGCTGATTCCCATAACAAAGGGTCATTTTAATCATCCTGCAAGTTGTGGTGCATTAGTCTGTATAACAGATTGATAAAGAGCATTTATTAATTCGGAAATATTTGGGTCAGGATGGGTTGTTTCCCACTTCTACTGATATAATTGAGACCACATCATAGAATTAATGGTGAAAGAAATAGGATATGCATTGACTGGAAAATGAAAATTATTTCTGATAAAGAACTAAACCCCTTGATATATCTTTTACAATTGCCACCAATATATATAGCAGGAACTGAGTAGGGAAAAACATTAAAAGCAGGCAGTAACTGTATATCATGCAAACTCATCCAGTTTCTATTATTTAAAAGACTATTTTTCTTCCAGCTTTAGAAAATACATACACAGTTTTATTAAACATACTATTACTGACAAGCATGTGAATACAGAGTCCACAATAAATACTCTTGGGAAAAAGAAAAATACACAAACAAACAAAAAAGGAAAACAGAAACCAAACCAAACCAAACCCCAACCAAACTAAAAGCCCACACAAACCTTGTCCTTCAAAAAAACCACAAAAAAACCCACCAAAAAAAAAATCTCCACACTGTTATCTGAGCAAATAGTTCCTAATGGTCAAATGAAGATACTTGTGCATATTTATATCTTTACTACAATCTCACATATGTGGCTGTGTATCAGAAGTGGTTGGGCAATAGGTTTTCCAAAGATCTATATTCCAAAGACTTTGCTTAGATTGTCAGAAGAAGAGTATCTACTAGGAACACAACTCTGTAATGTTACCTCCAGTACAGAACTGGTCAAGCCAGAAGACTCTCCAGCCTTATTGTAGTTATCTGATCTTCTTGGCTCCTTGAACCTCAGTTCTGAAAGAAACTAAGAAAGATGTATAATGTTAGAGCAGATAATGGACAAGATGTTATGTATCTGAAAAAAAAATTATTAAAAATACAGTCCTTTTTTACTCAAAATTTCATTTTCTTCTAAATATTGTGAGATCTAGTGACTTTATATAGATATATCATGCAAAGAAATGAAATAGAAAAAATATGATTTTCAGTAAGTATTACCTAGGAGGATTACTTTAGATTTGTAAGCAGTAAAACCTAAATAAAGGTATGCATGTTAAATCCTAAATTAATTCAGTAATTTTATGGAAATCTGTGTATAAAGTACAACAGGACATATATGAGCAAATAATTATATTTGGCAAGAACTCCATTTATATACGAAACATGAATGAGGCCAGAGGTTCACCTGAGGTCTATTCAGTCATGTGTAGTCAATGTTACTGAACAGATTTTATCTACAGATAAACACACCTAAGTTTAGCTGGCCTTTGGTGGTGAACAACCAGCTTCGAGAAAGTTTAACAAATTTTGTTTGACTCAGGCTAATTAACTTTTACCATTCATAGCCAAAGCTCACTTTATGATCACTGTAATACTGTACTTCAGCGTTGATTTTTCTTCAAATTATATGCATTTTCTGTTACTATTTCAAAGAGAAATAATCAAGATCAAACATTTTTCTTCCCCTCTCAATCTCAGTCTAATTTTGATTGCAGTACTCCTGCAGTATTTTGACATTTATTATGAGTTACTTAAAATCTAAATTGTAAATAAGGTGTAATCTGGAAACATATGATAAAGAATTTGAGTTAGCCACACAAGTAAATTTAAATTCCAGTGGAAAAGGTACCTATAAATGAAAATATCGGTTATCTTCAGGGATAGCACAAACCATGTACTACTACTGCTACCTTATTTGTGGCTCCTAATTTCCAGACAGCATACACTGTTATTGCTTGAATATTTAGCTTCAAGTTTCAGTGGACTTCAGGATAGCCAGTGCTCGCTATCTCTGCATGGTGTTATTACCCTTATAAAACATGGCTTCCTACAGAGACAAACTTTTCAGGGTGCTTACCTCAGCAGATCTTACAAGGGCTGATCTAACATGGAACAAACTTTGATTAGTCTCTGCCTCATGTTCTGCATTTAGCAACTCTACCTGGGGCATAGGAAGCTACCAACAGATGTGAGCGTCACCTTCAATAAAGTAACTAAATAGAAATCTTTTCAATATTGCAGTTTTCTACTGCCCTCATTTTTATACGACGCAAATTGACTCTAGCTGTACATTAAGCTGTTTAGGAAGAATGAAAGAGAAATATGGGCTGCTGATTGTGATAGTGTCCTTGAGTAATGAATAATGGTTTCTGTTCTCAAATTATGGCTAGTTCTTTTTTTGCTCAGGGGGTCCATTGCAGTGTACCAGCTTTTGTGTCATAGTATTGAAAATTGATAGAGTTAAATGAATGTAAAATCTCTACAACAGGGAACGGACTCAGCCGTAGAGCTGGAAAGCAGTTGACTGCATAGGTCCTTGAAGTATAACTTCCAAATGCCCTCAGAGTAAGTTAAGAAAGTTTGGATCAAAGCAGTACATCTTGCTTCCATGTCTATCTGTAGCCTGTGTTTGAAATATTGAAGTCAGTGAGAAGGGGTGTTAAAGTAATCAGTATTAAAAGTGTCTTTCTCAGTAGCAGTATGAATAGCACATTGTTTTACATGCATTGGAATTGTTAATTGTGTCACTGCAAAGTACAAGATACCATGTAGGGAAGTCTAAAAGATGTGCCAGTTAAGCTGGGACCTAACACTGAAGAAGACGCTGAATCAAGACAGAGCTTCTCTAATTAAACATGTTCTTTGAAATGAATATATATAGTTAAGATTAGATTTTAATATCGTTTTTTATTTATCTCTTTCTGTTTATGTGCTAAAAAGGCTAAAACAACTATGTGACCTTAGAATAATTTGTGATTGAAGTCTGAGACTACAGGACATTGAATAAGTTTAATAAGTGAAAAATGAGGGAAACTGTAAAGAGGCCTTAGAAGTCATCACATACCACACAGTAAAAGTTCAGGCTCCTTGTAATCAAATCAGATTAATTTTTGTGGAATACCAGTGTATCTAAAATGATAAAAGGTATTGAAGGAGCATTTGTCTGATTTAGTAAGTAATTCATTAACAGGTTATACCAGCAGAGCTTAAGTTGCTTCATTAGTTAGTATATGTTTTTGATGTTTGAGCCTAGCATCTAATCTTGTCAGAAATGTACTGATGTAAATTTTAGCTTTGTTTATCAGAAGAAGTGATTGAGTCACCATGCCTGGAGGTATTTAAAAAGATGTGTAGTTGTAGCTGTTAGGGATGTGGTTTAATGGTGGTCTCGGCAGTGTGAGGTTAATGGCTAGAATCAGTCTTAAAGGTCTTTTCCAACATAAATGATGCTGCCATTCTGTTCTGTGACTGACTTAATATGTATATATTAAATATCTATATATATAAAATATATATAGATATATTAAATATGTAATATGATATGTGTATATATATGTCCTCAGAGAAGGTATATTGCTTTCTTTTCCTTTCCTTCCTCCCATGCCCTTGCCCTGCCCCAGACACAACAATATCACTGAAAATTGTATTGTGTTTGAAGTCCAGGCAGTGCAATTGCCGCCGAGTATCTTATCTTAACAAGAATGACAAGAAATTGGAAGATTTTGCAAGAATTGATTTAGTGATACTGGTGCATCCCATGAAGTGTGGTTAAATTTATTTTTGTAGTTCCTGGTCATGCTTTAAATTTTCTCATTACATTGTCAATAAGTTACATTAAAATTGTTTACAGTTATCTTTCTGTTCTTGCTTCCTCTTTCTCTCTCTCTCTTTCCCTTCCCTTCATTCTAAAGCTGCTTAAGGAGATAGCTAGGAAACGCAGAAGCATTCGTCTTGGGCGGGAAGTTGAATTAAAGCCATATATTGCAGCTCACTTTGAAGTTCTTCCTACGGAATTCACATTGGGGGATAAGAAGCATTATGGTGGATTTGAGAATAAGCAGCTGCAGAGTGGTCAAGAATATGTCTTCTTCGTCTTGGCTGTAATGGAACACTCAGAATCTGTAAGTTAGTTAATGTTTTTCAATCTCAAAATTACCTTTCCACAATCATGAAAACATTTTTTAATGCTTATTCAGTTTCCTGAGAGATTTTTTTATGTTTGGTGTGGGGTTGTTTTGTTTTGTTTTGTTTTTTGCATTATATGTCAGAGCATCTTTAAAGCAATATTTCCTTTCCTAGTGACAAATAATTCCTTAAAGTTTTCTATTGTGGTTGCACCTGTGTGCATTACTTCTGCATATAACTGAAACCTAAGGATCACCTTTTATTAGCTGTGTTGTGATCCTTTGCAAATTACATGCTCTGCTATTTGTGACCATGGACACAGGATCTGAGGCATGAGCTTCAGAGCAACATCTTCCTCAGTGTATTTAAAGGAGTTCCTCTCTTGCCTGCCACTGAATAAAGGAGTAGGATACACAGGATTCTTGGAAAGATTCACTGAACCAGAGACATGCACAGCTACCCTGTTTGGTTACAGTAATTCCATAACAACTTTATCCGTAAATTGTTATGAAGTTAGAAAATAATTCAATAATAAGGAAAATTCTTGAGGTGATTTAAATAATGAGCTGTCATTCCTCTTTACTTAATTCATTTGGTAGTTATGTCCCTTTATGCATGAGTTAACCTACTGCGTGAAATATATTAAAAGAATAGACATAAATAGGACTGTTGAAAGAAGATGCAATCCACATTAACATTTTAACATACAGTGTATAATATGTAAAATTTTTAATGGGTAACTAAACCTGACAGGTACATTTGCAGGTTCAACCGCTTGAAACTACAACACTTCTATTCTGAATTTGAGTCAAAGCTTCTACTGTGTGACGTCATAATTGCTTTCTTGCCATCAATGGAATTTGCCTACTTAAATACAATGAGGAAGCAGTTCCACTTTGAATACTTTTGGCTAAATAGCTTCATTTGAAAATAAAATAGGTGCCTCCTATAAGCTCTGACATAAGTCAAAAGTTCAACTTTTGCTTTTTGACAAGGGCTGAATAGACTGATAATTCTGAAGGTGTTCCATCCAAAAGATTCAAACTGGAGAAGATAGACAGCTTTTGAGCATAGAGTTAGGTAGCCATAAATCTGTGTGTCAGAGATCACCTATAGTAAAATTGGTACTTTTAAAACAAAGTATGGTTTCTTGGGGTTTTTATATTAATTAAGGCATTAGTCATTTCATATAAATGACCTAAATTTATTGTTTTGTTAGCAAGAAATGAGGATAAAAATCAGGAAAAAATAGGCTTGACAGCTGAAAAGGCTCATATGGCAAAATCTATCTAAGGTCCTACTCTTAAAGATTTCAGAAGGCATTACTAAGCTTACAATATGGTAATAACTGCTTTAACATGCCATCTGAAATGTTTATGTGATTGAGTAGCATAAGGTACCCACAGAGTGTGAATAGTTTTTAACGGTGAGTGAAATTCAATTTTCGATGCTCCAGTTTATCCACTCTCAATATATCTGGTTTTCTTCCAAGGCTGTAAATCCCACTGGTGTTTGAGTTGCAACCTGAAAGGGATGTTTTTCCTGATTTTCAAATGTTACATCATACATAAGACTTCTCCTTCAGAGAACACAAAATTTCCCTGTTGATTGGTAGAATGGACTATTTGAATTAAAAGAAAATATAGGAAGGTCTGAATTTGTTTAACTTGATAAAGTGGAAGCTGAGAGAGCTTATGATTAAAATCTTTAGCACGTTAAGCATGCTAAAGGGAGGAAAATATAAGATAAATTTGGAAAAATAATAAATGAGTTTAAATTAGTCATTAATACAGGGAGGACGAAAATTAAAAATGAAACCCTGCTTATTGGAGAAAAAGTAGTTAGTGCTTATACTGTTGCCCTCAATATCCCTTTGTATCTTTTTCCAGGCATTTTTGCTACCTGCTCTAAAGAAAGAGGCTAAATAAAAAGAGTTTCTTCCTGTAGCAATGGGATTTGTTCTATCTTTTGAGCATACTGAAGCTGGGAAAAAAACATCAGTCAGTTTGGATGTTTCAGGAATGAAACATGAAGAGCCCTCAATTTCCAAACAATGACCACAGAGTTAAAACACTGGGTTTTTTTAGTGCCAGGTGCCAGGTTTAGTGACTGTAACATAACTGGAGATTGTTAGCATGGGTGGTTGCTCCTTACCATGTAAGGAGCTTATGTAAGTGCCTCAGCTTTGCCAATCCTAATCCTGTCTCAAACCCAGACACTGTTGTATCCCAGAGCCCAAAACAAGGCCAAATGAAGTGTAAAAAAACATGTCTCCTTTGATAACACTTGTCCTGGCTTATGGTATCTTTAAGAATATAGTGCAAACATGTAAATGGAAGCTAATCTCTTCTCCCAGTTATCTTATTCTATATTAGCTGACATTCCTGATCTACTGCTGAATGAAGCTTTTAAGTCCTTTGCAAGAGCTGTAGTTCAAATCCTAGTTTAGTGGTTAATGGAGACACTCCACCAAAGACAAATTGTACAAACAATTCCCCACTTCTGACTTTACTGTAACTCAGAGTTGTTTGAATGATGCAGTTTTAGCAGGCTGGCTACTCAGCCTCTACTGTCTATAATTTTAACTCTGCACTTAGTCATAGATCAAACATCTCAGGGCACAGCAGAGTAAAAAAAAAAAATATTCTCTCATCACAGGTCTTATCCTAGGCCAGTTGCTTTACGCCATCCAGTAAAGCAAAGATTTTCAACAGCCTCCGTTGGTTCATAATTCAAGTTTTATACCTATGAAAGACTGAGCGTTTACCTTCCCTTCAAACTCTGTAGTGACTTCCCCTGTTTTCCATTCTTAAATTCAAGTTGTTTCCAACTTCAATAAGAATACTCTGTCAGACAGTTTTTAACTGTCAAAATGTACCATACTATTGCCATAAGAACCTTTTCTAAGAACCTTCTACATTCAGTCCCCTTTATTTTTACCTATAGTGGTTTTGTTCTGTTAGAAGCACTCTTTCATGTCATGCAAGAAGAAATAGTGCTAAGCCAGTGTGAAACTAAAACAAAAAACAAAAATGTATAACCGATGGGTTGTATTTGTTCTAATAGTTCATTTCTTCATTCTCTAATTAAGTTGCAGAGTGTTCTGGAAGGACATCATTTGTCTGCAAATCACTACTAATATGTGGAAAACAAAATAAAGAGAGTAATAACAACACACCTTTTAGTTTGCAAGTTTCTATGCTGCCTGACTTCAAGAAAAAGAGCATTTCCACTTTGTTGTGTTCATTGCATCATCACCTTCTATACATTTATTTTAGATCTAGCATAGTTAATATTTTAAATGTACTCCCTCATGATTAAGTAAGAATTATTTTTATTTCTATAGACCATGTATGCAACCAGCCCATATTCTGATCCTGTTGTGTCAATGGATCTTGATCCCCAACCAATTACAGATGAGGAAGAAGGCTTGATTTGGGTTGTTGGACCAGTTCTTGCAGTGGTGTTTATCATCTGCATTGTTATTGCTATACTTCTTTATAAAAGGTAAATTTACCTTTTAGTTTTCTTGATAGGTATATAACTTCCTGACATGTTGGTCATTTTGTAATACTGTTCCACATTATATTATTGAGCTACCATTGTAACTGTCATTGCTTTGAGACATTTCAATATTTATTAATGGTTTCCAGAATATTGCAGAAATTTTTGATTGAAAGTTTCCAATAATTACAGGTATGCAGGTACATTTTTCTGCTGATGACATATTACCACTTCTGGATTTAGATGTTTTTTCCACTTTGCATACATTTGTATGCAAAGAAAATAAATATGTACTGCATATAAATATGTATGGAATTGGCACATTTGACTTTTTAAAATTTGTTTTTAGTTGTATAATAGTAATACATTAGGGGTTACATTCAGCTTGATGTTAAATGTGATTCTCATCTCCACGCAAGTAATTTGAGTTTTGACAGTTGGCCTCAATTTGCCAGTGTATCTATATGAATTTTGAGCTTTTAACTGAGAGATTAAAGAGACATCAAATAGCATTTTTCTACTAATCTTGCAGTGAGATCAAATTTCACTTATTCTTCTTTCACTGTCTATGACACAGATGTAGTTTTGCTGTTAAACCCTCTGCCTTACAACATAGCGTAAACTGTGTATGATGCCATAATTTATACATAGTAGCTTTTTACACTGTAAATGAATTCACAGGGCTGAATCAAAACAAAAGAATCAAACCAAAAAACTTTATTTGAATGTTTAGATTTTGTTTCTAATACATTTTTGAAATATATTGATATAATTACAGATTACTATAAAAATGCTGTAAAGCTCTGGGGAGCTGGTGCACTAGGAATAATTTCATTATATGGAGTATGTGCTCTAGGATTAACAGCTATGATGCTATCACTCGAATATAAATATTTAAATTCTGCTAGCCTGTATAGTCTTCCCTCCCTAAGTGTCTCTGGTCAAATATCTCAGAAATGGCATGTATAGAACTGGCTTCAGGTTTCGGAAGGAATTCCCTGTTCAGCAGTAAATAACCAATCTAGAGTTAACTTGAGCTTTGGGTTCCAAATAGACATGTATTTATAGGATGTTTTTAGGGCTGTAATCGTACAACAGCATAACACATGGTCTGTTGCTTTCAAATACTATGTCTCCTGAAGGTTTCCATTAGTGCATAGTGTTTCAGCCAATCTAATTGGTTAGCAACCGGTGAACCTCTGTTTGTGTCTGTCTGTCACTTCAAAAACCAGTCATTAGAGTTGTGCTGAAAGTGAAATACTCCTTTTTCCTGATTATTTAAAATTATTAAGAGTAAATCTCTCATACTACGAAAAAGTCCAAACAATGGCATATAAAGCAGATATGCACCTGCTTCTGGAAATATTACTTACATTTATGGAACCATAATAAAAATCTTAAAATCTGTTACCAAATAAAAAATACTAGGCAAATTCTACATACAAGCAGGTAAAATTTGCTTGTCAATATTGCGAAGAGATTGTCATTCACTGAAAATGGGGGACATACTTTCCATCTGTTATTTACTGTTTGTACTAGAACTGTTCGGGCAAATGTCCATATGTATTTATTTATTTATCTATTTTCAGCTATTTAATTTATTAAACTGCACTTATTTGGCAAATTACCTCTGAGAAATTTTGACTGCAGTTTTAGCAGTCTATGGTCCTCTATGAACTTTTCATTACTGTAAAAAAGAAGTATATAATTGGATTTGTTTTTCAGGAGTACTCAACTGGATGCAAGCTAACTGCTAGATTTTGATAGACTTACTGACTGTAGAAAAGCAACAACTAGACAAGAAAGTAGGGATATTTAGCATACTATTTTGAGAAAGCAGTGAAATTTAATTTCTGAGTTAAATGGATTTACTGTGGCTACAGGAGTTTGATTGAAAAAATAAGAAAAAGAAAAAACAGTAAAACAAGAAATTTTCATGGATACAGGAAATTTTACAGTATATTTGAAGAATACAATGGGATATAAGTGCAAAAAGTATGGTAATGAGGAAAAACAAAGGATAGAGGGCATCGGTCTAATAATACATGAACAAACATGCAAAAAATATCAAAAAGAGGATGTCGTTGAAGGATGTGCAGTGCAAAGAGGACAACCAAGAAATGACCGTGTCTTTTGAAGTGCAAGTGGTAGTAATTCAAATAAAGGTCAACTATGCTTAATTCACTTTGTCCGTAGAAACCTTTATGAACAGACTTGGACCACTAAGCTCATGATTAATAATACTACTTTTATATTTTAATTTCTATCGTAGAGAAAGAATGACTTTCTAAAAGAATCACTTTAGGTGGAGAGGTCTTGCCCCTCTTAAAAACAGACACTGTCAGAAGTAGTGTGGATGAGTTGTGTTGGTTGGTTTGAAGCATATATAACAATCCCAAAGACAAGCAGTGCATGTTTGACCTCATTATTTGTTGGTAACTTGTATCAAGGTTATTGCCTCTTCATTTAGTCCTATAATCTAAAAGCAGAGATATTTCATAGAAATTTTTTTTTGATCATATATTAGAATATAGACAAAAGGTCCTTGCAGCTCAGTAAGTAACAGTAATACTGAAGAGTACCTTTTCTTGTCGACAGATATACTAGCAATATAGTACTCAACAACGATGAGGCCAAGTAATGTACTGTGTGCAGAAGAGCTCACAGTTTTACAGAACCAAAGTGTCACAGCTCTGGAGTTTGCCTCATCTCAGCCCTGCTCAGAGCATGGCCAGCTACAGCAGCTTGCCCAGAGGGATGTCCAAGCAAGATTTAATATAGCTAAGAATGGAAACTCAACAGCCTTTCTGGACAACTTGTTCTGTGTTCCAGGATCCTCACAGTAAAAATTATTTTTTTCCTGATTACAGTTGAATATGTCTTGGCAAATGGAACTGACTTGGCCAGTAACTAGTTCAGTGTTCTCTGTCCTCGCAGCAGTGAAACCATGAAACCACCATGCAGTCATAGTGAAAGGAGACACTTATTCTGGAGCAGATCTTTCAATCTATTGGACTTAAATTTAAATAATAAAATTAAGAGGTCCAAGTAAATTAACTAAATCTCATTTCCTTTTCAGTTATTTTCCTTTGCTCATTCAAACTTGAAGTACATTATACATCATAGTAAGATTTATATCCGAAATCTCAAATAAAGGCAAATACCTTCTTAGCTAGAGAGAGGGTGCATACCCTGAAAGAGATGCCTAAGCACTATGATGGCTGTTTGAGTAACAGTTTATATTTCAAGTTGATTTTGATAAAACAGCAACCTACAGTTCAGGCAAATCTACAGTGAATCCTTTCAACTCACTTTTAGGTATGTGATACATATTCAATCACATAAGATTTGGGTAATTAGGAAACCAGTCAGTGAATGTTAAGGAGCTCTATAGAGTGTTCAGTGTATCTCAGAAATGGACAAAATAGAAAGAAGAGTGCCTGTCCCTATGAAGAATCCTGTCATCTGTGTTTTTTGGGTTTGGGAATTTATTTCTTGAACCATGTGAATTTATGTTTTTAAGAAATTACAGATTCTCTAATTTCAGTCTTCCACTGATGGAGCAAAAAATGTTCCTCATTCTAGATCTTTTCTTTTGTGAGGAAGAGAAGTTAAAGTCATCTTGACAGACTCTGTATTGTTGCTTTTATAAAGTGCAGCTTTCTGATTTGGTTCAGAAGCCTGGAGCCTAAGCTTGAATCTTTTGAACATAGTGAACTTTGCCACTCTGAATCATAGTGTCATAGAATCATAGAATAAGTGGGGTTGGAAGGGACCTTTAAGGGCTATCTAGTCCAACACCCTGCAATGAGCATCTTCAGCTAGGTCAGGTTGCTCAGAGCCCTGTCCATAGGCCTTGAATATATCCAGGGATTAGGTATATGCCACCTCTTTAGGCAATCTGTACCTGTATTTCACCATCCCTATCAAAAAATTTCTTCCTACTAGCTAATTGGAATCTACCCTCTTTCAGTTTAAAACCATTACCCCTTGTCTTATCATTACTCCTACATAGGCTGTCCCCATCTTCTTATGAGCACCCTTTAAGTACTGGAAGGCTACAGTTAAGTCTCCCCAAAGCCTTCTCTTCTCCAGGCTCAACAATGCCAATTTTCTCAGCCTTTCCTCATAGAGAAGTGTTCCATTCCTCTGACAAGTTTTGTGGCCCTTCTCTGGACACACTCCAACAGGTACATGCCTTTCTGGTACTGATGACCCTAAAGCTGGATGCAGCACTTCAGGGGGGTCTCACAAATGTAGAGGGGCAGAATCATATCCCTTGACCTGCTGGTCACCTGCTGAATCTTGAGCTGTTTGACTTAGAAGCTAAACATGCTTTCTGACAGAAAAAAAAAAACAAAACAAACAAACACAGATACTTAAAAAAAACCCACAGAAATGAAAATCAAGGAATCCTAAATGATGATGAAGAATTCTAAAGATTTTTTCATTACATGTGTAATCTGGTCATTGCAGACTACAAGCTATGAAAAGTTTGTAGAACCCCTGTTTATTATAATCAACACACAGAAAGATAAACACTAAATTTACAGTGTGTGTGTATAGTAGAACATTTTTGTGGGAGATAAATTATTTTCCCTGTTCACCTGATCTAGATCATAGATCACTACAGATCTGTGCAGATTGCTGTAGATTTCTAGTAGGTGACATTCTTTCTAAATCTAAAAAAGTGTGTAATACTTCACTAGAAAAAAATTTACGGTTTCCTTACTTTCCAGGGTACTGTCAAAAATTTCTTGTTATTTTATTACTTGGTTTTGTAAAATAATTTTAAAAGTCCTCATTTCTTTTTATTCTTTTTAAAATTTAGTACAATTCTTTTGTATCTCATGTATTTAACGTTGTTCTTCACTTGCTTTTCTCTCCCTTTTCTTCCCCCTTTCTCTCCTTCCCATTCTACTCTGCCCTCCACTTTCATTTTTCCTCTCCTACCTCCTCTCATCTCTCCTCTCTCTAGAATTTAAGAGGAAACTACATCTTAGTGAGATGTAATTTTTCAGTGTAATGTTAACATTACTTTGATGGGTCAAATTAGAGACCCATTCTCTATTATCTAATTGACTAAAATTTGAAGTCTCATTACTTTACAAATAGTATCCAAGAGAGCTGTATTTTTCAGCAGAAGATTCACTTTGGACATGACCTTGTGTCCTCTATTAATTCTGTGATTCCCAAGCATTAAATATTTTGTTGAGCTGTCATTTCTTAATTTTGTTTAGTTATATATCTTTAAGTCAACATTTCTTATATCTCCTGTTTCCATTCTTATCCTCTGTGCTGCTGATCAACTAACATTTCACCTTTTCTCCCCTCTTTGCTGCATTAAAATGGAGCAGTAAACCTGACAGGTGAGAAGCAAAAAGTAATCACTCTTCATTTATTACAGAAAAGGAGAAAAAAAAAAGAGAAAAAGAAAGTTATCATGATAATGATCTAAGACAAAGCATCTGTCAATCTTAAGTGAATGTAGACAGTAATCTGTCAAAATGAAGACTATGTAAGACTTGCTGTGTTATTTACAGCACTGAAAATTAGTGTAATGCAGTGAAGTTTCACTGCTCTTTTTCTTGTGTCTCCATGTAGTACATTTTCAAGAGATAGCAGAGCTATACAATGTTTATATGGTTTTATTTGCATTTTCATGAAGGTGAATGAGTGTTTTTTTTGCTATAACCAAAGTTCTTTAAGGAATGCATTGTTCTGATTGAAGTGTTAGCCTCTCTGAATCTCTGTAATGCTCCACCCCCATGGACTCAGTGCTGACTTACAGTTCTACAAGTGAAAATGATACAGCGATCTCTTGTCCTCTGTGGATTTTTTTCCCCATCTATCTCAAAATCATTGCGTAATCTGAAGGAATTATGATGACTTTATAGGCTGGAAACATAAAAAAACCACCAACATGCAGAATGATCCTGAGAATAATACAAATAGCAAACTGTTCTATTATCCTAGAAGTATTCAAAATATTCAGATACATGATTAGAAGAGATTTTAGTGCTTTTAGTAGATTAATGTGTAATTTTGTTTCCCAGTACTGACTTGCAATTGGAAAAAAGTTAAATGAATCATAGAATCATAGAATAGATTGGGTTGGAAAAGACCTCCAAGATCATCAAGTCCAACCCCTGATCCAACTCCAATTACTATATCATGGCACTAAGGGTTACATCCCATCTCTTTTTAAAAACCTCCAGGGATGGTGAATCCACCACCTCTCTGGGTAGGCCGTTCCAATGCCCGATTACCCTCTCTGTAAAGAATTTCTTCCTAACATCTAACCTAAACCTCCCCTGGCAGAGCTTGAGCCCATGTCCCCTTGTCCTATTGTTGGTTGCCTGGGAGAAGAGACCAACCCCCACCTGACTATAACCTCCCTTCAGGTAGTTGAAGAGAGTGATTGGGTCACCTCTAAGCCTTCTCTTCTCCAGACTAAGCTTGTCTCTGGACAGTTTGAAGGACTTAAAGAGACTTAAAACTCCTAGACATAAGGAGAAGGAAATATAGATTAAAGGCTTCTTGAAAGTTACATCACACATCTTTACTTAAGAAGAAAGGGCACTAAGGCGTTGTGCTACAATGGTAGGAGTTGGGAATAGCCAAAATCAAAAGAAAGGAATTTCAAATGAGTTTATCCATAATATTTCGTCTTAAAAAAGACAAAAACCAGAAGAATCAGATGTAAATTTTTATCACTTCACTACAGAGAGATTAATACATGTGTTAGGTATTTACCAGAGAACAGATGGAGTGTTTTTGCAGTAAAAAACCTTTTACTTTTTTCAATAAAACCATAGGACTACTGACTTTCAAAGAATACATGCAACAGTGTTGCTGTTTGACTCATTTGCATAGCCTTTGAAATCTTGTATGTTACCAGATGTTCATGATTTCAAGAACAGCAAGAAATCAACTGGAATAACAGCAGATTTAGCATTGTATCATTGTGAGTCGAATAGGAAAAAAATAAAAGAATAGTTTTATGTTAAAGTAAACATTAGGTACCTGGAAAAGATTTTGCTATCATTAACCTTAAAATAACCTCAGCTCTCTTTTCACAAAGTATCTCTTCCTCTGTTTGCTTCTTCTGATAGAGTATCAGCCAGGTTGTGTTTTCATTCAGGAGTCCACATAGGACTAGTGAAAAAGGATTCCACTTTCTGTGTAAAAATGCAGAGTGGTAGATGTTCTTCATGTAATGTAGTTCTCCATGTCTCCTTCAGAAAAATTATACAGACAAATAATAGCACTCCATTTTACCAGAAAATTCAGAGTCAGAACACATGTGGACTCTGCTTCTCTCTAGAGACAGGAAAACATACACAAACTTGCTTGCTTGCTTGCTTCCTTCCTTCCCCGCTCCCTTTCTCCCTCCCTCCCTTCCTCCCTCCCTTCCTTCCTTCCACCCCTTCCTTCCTTCCTTCTTCCCTTTGCTCCCTCCTTCCTTCCCCCCTCCCTCCTTTCTTCCCTTCCTCCCTCTTTCCCCCCTCCCTCCCTCCCACCCTCTTTCCCTCTCTCCTTCTCTCCTTTCTTTCCCATCTTGTTTTGGACAGATTGACATGAGTACTATAATTGCAGTGAAACTCTCAGTTTAATTAGAAATACTCATACAGAATCTGAGCTGTGAATATATGTAAGTGAGGTAAGACAAATGAAGATTGTGTAGTTCAGCTCTTATAGAGATGAGAGTAGATTGTTGATTCCTAGAAAGTGAAAAGAATAGGTGTCTTCTGGGATAGGTGTCTTCTCTACTGTTCTTTCTCATATTAAAAATACTTTTAAAATACAAGTTATTTTCAATAAATGTGTATAAAATATTAAATATTTAATGATAATAACTTGGGGTAATAATTTCTAGTTTCAAGAGTTGGCTACTTTTTAATAAAAGTATAGCTAGATAGCTTTTAAAATACTGTGAATTTTTATAAGTTTATGTTATAAAAGTAAGTAACCGGTGACCAGAAGGATATAGTGGAGGATCAGTCCAAGGCAAAATGCATTTATTTTCTCTCTTGCATTAATATATTTAGATTCATTTTGCCATTGCAAATTGTAGATGCCCTACCCACAATGCATAATTGTTTTGCCTTTCCATTGGATCAAATAACCTTTCAGAAACAAACATCTTACCTTCAGAAAACGAGGATTAAATGCTCAGGCGCCTTTGTCAAGCTAACATGTCTATCTTCTGTTTGTGTGTATTCACCTTCTCCATGCAGGAAGAGGGCTGAATCTGATTCTAGAAAGAGCAGCATACCCAACAGCAAGGAGGTCCCTTCTCACCATCCCACAGATCCAGTGGAGCTGCGACGCCTTAACTTTCAAACTCCAGGTAAGAGTCAATAACTTACAGAAAGTTCTGTAATCACAGGCTGATTACTGGTGCTGTTACAGAGAAGAAAGATTCATTGTTTATAAAAATATGTTTGATCACTTATGAGGTTTTGCACAGTATATTTCTTTGTTGGCGTTCAAAATAATTCTTTAATTTCTTTATTTAAAGAAAAATCCTGCATGAAGCAAACTTGAATTCATGTAAAAAAGAGCCCAAAGACACACATGCTGTGTGGATGTGTTTTATGTGCTGTAATTCCAAGTTAAACCTAACAATGCTAGAAAATGTTATTGGGACATGTATATCCCTCTATTTATTAACAATACAGCAACTTCTTGTTAATAAGCTTCTTTCTTATCTACTACATAATTGGGTAATCTGTTAACATCCTTGTCAGTTTCACTGAATTGCAAATTTACAGCACAGAAAGGAAATACTAACTAGATAAATGGTCTTGTCTTTGAAGATAAGGCCATGCATTGTGGTTAAGGGAGTACATTAACATCACTAGTTCTGAGATTAAAAGCAACACACAGCCAAATATTTTATTAAATGATTTTTTTAAATGAAACACTGTTTTCTTAAAGCTGTCAAGACAGTCAAGAAACACCGGGAGATAAATACTTAGTATTGAATTTTACCACATTTTAGGAGTCAGCTTTTACCTAAATTGGCTTTATTTTGATCGTGTTATATTCCAGTAGACGTGTTGTCTGTTACAGTGTGTTTGCACACAGTCCAAGTCTAATGCTAATTGTGTACAGAATCTTCATGAGCTTTGTGTTTGTCAAACTTCTCTACATTAATAACAAAAAATAAAAGCTCATAAAAGTAGGAAATTAAGGACTTGAAATGCTGAGAGATTAGCCTCAGAACTTGACACACTAAAGGGTTAAGTGAACTTGCAGATCTCATTTCCAGTCTTCTAAACAGTGATTATATTAAGATAATATTGACCCAGCAGGAGTGGATTTGCAGAGTAGTGAATGTGGGCTAAAGACCCACACTGCATGCACATGGCACTAGTAGAAAGGGAAGAGTCTCGAGGCCTGAGTTTTACCCCAGCCTTGTTTTTCTTTAATCTGTTCCAGTACACTGAATGCTCTTAGCATCTGGTGCAAATTAGGGGTGTTTCAGGAACACATCTTCTAATTCAGTTTCATTTCAGTGTAGGAATCTTGTTGACATGCTCTGGGACCTCTATTAAATGAACTTAAGTGCAGTAAGTGGAAATGATTGAAAGTTTTTATTCACAATTGTCCTTCTGAGACTGCAATCTGAATGTAGGCTTACTGTTCCTGGGTAAAGTTTTTGTTGTTCAGGAATTTCATGAAAATTTTAAAGGTTTTTACAGCAATAAAGTATAGAAGTATACGTACAAATCTTTGAAACATGAGAAGAAAAAATATGCGTACTAAAGTCTGGCTAATGCCTAAAACAAGTCATTATTTGTGTACAGTTATATACTCAGTGGATGGCTTAATAGAATCAGAAAATCATTTTGTTTGGAAAAGATCTATAAGATTAAGGAGTCCAACCATTAACCAAGCACCTCTATGTTCAACAAGAAACCATGACCCAAAGTGCCACATCCACATATTTTTTTGAACACCCCAGGGCCAGTCATTTCACCAGTTTCCTGGGCAGCCTGTTTTAACACCTGACCACCCTTTCAGTGAAGAAGTGTTTCCTAATATTCAATCTGAACCTACGCAACAAACTTAAGGCCATTTTCTCTTCCCTTATCACTTGTCACCTGGAAGAAGAGATTGACCCCCAACTTGTTATAACCTCCATTCAGAAGTTGAGAGAGCTATAAGGTCTCCCCTCAGCCTCCTTTTCTCCAGGCTAAATAACCCCAGCTCCCTAAGATGCTTCTCATAAGACTTTTGGTCCAGACCCTTCACCAGCTTTGTCACCCTTTCCTAGACACACTCCAGCACTTCAATGTCTTTCTTGTTGTGAGGTGTTGCTCAGCTGGACACAGTACTCAAGGTGTGGCCTCACCAGTGCTAAGTATGGGGGGACAATCACTGCACCAGTCCTGCTGACCACACCACTCCTGATAAAGTCCAGGATGTCAGGATGGTCTGCTTGTTGACCTTCCCCAGCACCAAGGTCAGACTGACAGGCCTGTAGTTCCCCAGATCCTCCTTCCCACCCTTCTTGTATATGGACATCCCATTTGGAAACCTTTAGTCGTCTGGAACATCCCCAATCAGACAGGACTGCTTGTACATGAAGGAAGAAGGCTCAGTGAATACTTCGGTCAAATCCGTTGGTACCCTTGGGTGTATCCTATCCAGTCCCCCACAGCTGTGTGTGTCTAAGTGGAGTTGCAGGTCTCTGACCAATTTCTCCTAGATAATGGGGTCTTAATTCTGCTCCCCATCCCTGTCTCCCAGCTCAGGGGGCTGTGTACCTGCAGAATAATTGGTGTGGTTAATAAAGACTGAGGCAAAGAAAGCATTAATTACCTCAGCCTTTTCCTCATCTTTGACACTATGTTTCCCTCTGCATCCAATAAAGAATAGAATAATATCTAGGTATATAAGCATAACTTTCTGCTCTCTGTTTATTTACATGTATAGTCTTACCTATCTCTTTAATATTCATAATCATTAAAATAAAATGTGGGCAAAAAAACCCCTGCTGCCGAGTGCTAACAATTTAATATATAAAATTATTTATTGTAATTAATTCTAAATTTACACTTAGGATGTAAATTTATTAAGAAATGGCAGAATTTGTGGCACTCATAAACACTGTAATTCCACCTCATTGATCTGAAAAGAACTGGAGAGGATTGAAAGCATACTTTTCCTTGCAGGGCTATACTTCATCTAGGAAGTTCGCAGTTTTTTGTGAGGCTAGTTGAGCAGAACATTTGCAATCCATTTCTACTATAAACTCTTATTTTTTCCTGTAAACCTTTTCATGGAATGGAGAACTACAGTTATTATTAAAAATACAGTACAGACACCGAATTATGATTTTTTTACCTACTGTTGTACTACCTAAGAACCCAAGGCGCAGGACAGGCCATTATATTACTCAGTACACAACCAAATATCAAGGAGAAATTTCTTACACCAGTAGATTTGTTTTGCTCTGTAACACTTGCTAATTAACATGTTCTTAGTATGTAAACTTAGTCACAGTGAAGTTAAGGTACAATTCTTGTGCTAGTAAAAGCAGAACATCACTTAACTCACATTGACTTCAATTAAGGCTACCATTTAATTAAAATGTGGGTAAATTTAACTTAGATATTTGAATCCTACCGGAATGTTTTTCCAACTTTAACCAGCAACACACCATCAAATAACATGCAATAAAAAACTTTCAAGACCAACACAGGGAAACTGCAGAAAGGCTGCATGTTCAGGATATCAGTTTTGTTATATTTGTTGTTTTTTCACATTCAGGTGTGTGGGGTTTTTTTCTATTATGTAGCAGAAATAGATAGTGGGATACTTCAAAAGTAGGCAACTGAGCAAAGAGATTGGAGCTGATGTAGTTATGTGTTGGATTCCTTTTACCAAGACATGTCCAGTCACCCACATACAATGGCCTTATCTATTGTATAAGATGTTACCATTTCTCAATGTTGCCTATAGATAAAATAAGTGACAGAGTAGTGAATGTGCTTTAAAAACCAGTGTATACAAAGTCAGTAAAAAAGCATCAGGATAGATGATTTGACATACTTATTATTATAGTGGTTTATTTCTTTGGATTATGAAAGCATCTGCAGTTTACTTGGAGCTTTCCAGGGAGACTGGTTGCTTCCAGTGGAAGGGGAAAAAAAGTTTATAATCAACTCACAAAATACAGCAGCATTAAAGAAAATTTTAAATTACACTGGCATATGTAAACTGCCAGTTTTCACTGGGAGAGGTGAATGAGTCATTCCTATAAAATTCTGGATTGTCATAAACTTTAGTGCTTTGAAAGATTTCTAAACAACCTCTTTCCAAAAATACTGTCAATCATTTATTTTCTGTAAAAAAAGGTCTGATCAGATATAGCTATCAAAAAAATTTGAAAGTGAAACCCCTGGGCATAATTTGAATTTCTAACCACATGTATAAATTACTCCCAGTACAGGTGATTAGGTATAAATTTTTGGAAAAAAAAAAAAAAAAGTGAGAAAGCAATATTTTATCTATGATGATATGCACCATTATGTTTACTTCTCATAAAATTGTCAATTCAGCATGATGATGTCGCAAAATTGCACAGTAAAAACTACCAGCACAGCGAATGTCTTCCTTTCCTTTCACTTTTTATTGTCCTGTCAATACAGAACTATGTCCTTCACTAATCTAGAACTTACCTAAAGAGTTTCCTACCTTACCTCGTCCAGGAAGGATCAAATTCATATCTGGCTTCCCTCCTCGCTGGATGGAGTAACATTTGGAATAGCCCACAGTTCTATATCTAAGAGCAAGATCCCATGTCCATATGTGTTATCCAAAAATGTGTATGTGTTAGATAAGCCCATATGCCAGTGAGTGGGTCACAGCTGTGCCAAGTTCTCTTTGAGTAAACACGAAAATACCCAGTCTCTCAGTAGGATTTCATTTTTAAGTCTGTTATTCTTCCATAACTGGAGTAGCTGAGGAAAATTCCATCACGTTCTTACCATTCTACAAGTTTCCTATTAAAATCATTAACCTGTGCACAAATTTTAGAAGTCTCTGTGCTACATGGGAGAGTAAAGGTAAGCAAGGGGTAGTAATTAAACCCTCACAAAAGGTTTCATCAAATAAAGGAGCCCAGTTTTGCAGAGGAAAATTAACCGAAATTGAGTGGTTTGAGTGGGTTCTGAGAGACCCAAGGCTCAGGCAAAGACTTCAATCTGCCAATCAACCAGAGAACTAAATTGAGTCATGCTTCAAAAGTGACTAGGTTTTTTTTATCCTCATTTAACTATAAAATGTGTCACACTTATAAGTAATTTGTGTAATTGGGTACCAATTAAACAATTATCTCATTATATCTTATGAACTAATAAGAAGCTTTGAAACACAAGAAAAAATAAATAGAATTATTACAACTCTAAGTTAAAGACTGGGTTTTTTAATTAGATAAGTGCTCACTAAACAGTTATTCCCTGAGTTGCTAAGGAAGTTCCATGAACTTATTTCCAAGATAAAGCAGAAAAAGTGTAAAGCATGCCCGGAATAAAGGGGTACAAATAACAGAAGGTGGAAAAATTGATGTTTGGATTTAGTCACCTGCTTTGCAAATAGCAGGAAATTTCTTCTTGTAGTTTATCCACGTGATATCTGTTTATGAGAATGATGACAATGCTTAAGGAAATAGTTCCTTTGTCTCCATGACAAAACAAGACAGGAAATGCTTTCTTATAGTGAACAGTTGTACATATGGCTTGTCATATGAACTTGTCCACATGGAGGATTTAGGCACCTTAAAGAGGCATAGGCTTCATGTGGAAATGGCACTTCTCTGATATCCCACTTCATTGCTTTCAAACCTAGAGGCAACTAAAATCTGCTTAGCTAGGAGATGAAGTTGAAAATTCTCCTCACAAGAGTAATACATTTTTCTTTCCTGGATTTTACAGCCCATAGTTTTGCAACGTATTATTGAATTTACAATTTTAGATCAGGATCTGAAAACTAGATTTCTTCTTTTCTCAGTGTAGGTGACTTTTATACCTCACTCAGAGCTGGTGCTTCTGCTATGAGCTAAGCTGATCCTAAGGCTGCTTGTTACAGCTTAGTCTTTGATAGAGAAGAGCAGAAACTATTTTCATTCCATAATAATTGATCTAGTTTTGGAGAACATAAAATCTTCTGGAATAAAAGTGACATATTATATATGCGCTGGAAACTCTCTTAGAATAGTTGTTGCAGAATAATGTATATCTCTAGAGTTTGTTTTGTAAATTTATTTTTTTAAGTTCAAGCTCTGACGTAGCTCTGACTTTATGAAAAAGAAATTTGGAAGTAATAATAATTTTTTTTTCATAAATAGTAAAGGCATTCTTTCTAAATTTTCATAGATGCTGAATTTCTACTGAATCAGAGTTATCTTTCATTTTTTCGATTTTCCATGTCTGAATTTTAAGTAGGTATTTCTTTCTGTCTTTTTTATAAGGATTACTATCAGTAAAAATAACCACTGTTACTGATTTCTTCATTTTTCTGTAAAGGGACAGTACCTTAATCACCGTAGATTGGTATGTGGAACGGCATTCTGTGTTGCTAAATAAAAATGAGGATGCAGTAAATCAGTGTACAAAATCACAGACTGTTAACTCAATGTGGACCTAAAATACCACTAATTCCTAAAGAGGTTTCTGTGACAATAATGTATCACATTTTCAGTTTATCTGGATTGTAGTCCATATACTAGCAGCTTTGCTTTGTTTTATTTCTAACTTTATTCTTGTTTATTGTTGGTATGTCAACCTACAGTTGGTAAATAAATGCGTTTTGTAAATGTTTCTAAAAGCCCTTATCATAAAACCCTGACAACAAACAAAATCCTAATTTAATGCACTAGTGGCAAGCCTGAAAACACCCACTTGTTTCAGTGGGATAAAGGAATGTAATTAACAGGTCTAATATCTGTTGATATGCAGATGAATTCTGACCTTGCTCTCTTAGATTTTCCTTTAATTGTGGCACAAATGGTATTTCATGTTCCTTAGTCATGTCTTTACCACAGATTAACCAGAAGCTAATTCTACACTGTAATCAAATATATATATGAAGGGGTTACTACTAAGCTGCATAAGATCAATCACATTTCCCTATCTTCTACCAAATATGGAAGCAGGAGCTTCTAATGGATACAATTTCAGCTGTGTTTTGCATGTGGTGGTTTTGGGGGTTTTCTTTTTGTTTGAGTTTTCAGGTGTTTCTATCTCTTTTTTGAAAAAGAGATATCCTATTTAAAAGAAAATTTGAAAGCATGTTTACAGCATGGTATTTCTTTTGACTTTTTAGCATGTCACAGGATCTGTTGTAATTTAGCTGTATTTTGTCTTTAAGTTTTTGTGTTGTCATAACATATGTTGATTGATGTGGAAGTGTGTCATCAAATAAGTGTATTTTCTTATTTGTAGCCACAAAAATGAGGTTAGCTGTGTTTTGAGTGGGATCTTTGAATCAAGTTCTGCACCTGCTGTTCACATTAAGCTCAATAACAGCCTCATGCTTTTGCATGAAATATGATGAGATCTTAAAATGTTCATTCATATCATATTGTTATGATTCACGGACTGATTACATAACAAAAGTCCTCCAGCAGTTCTTTTAAAAAATAGCTACTTTTATCATCTCGTTTTACGTATTTAAAATATGAAAATATACCAAATGCAATTACTTCATAATTTAACGCAAAATATTATTTGAGGAAAGTTTTCAATATCCAAGAAAGGGTTGATATGCAGTTAAAATTTTTCAGTTTCTGAAGTTGAAAGTAGTTCCTCTTTTTGCCTTAGAAAAGAAAGTTTTATTTCAAATTTCATTTTTGCACAAAGTGTTTAATGTGAAATCTCTCCTTGGGAAGGCCAAGTGAAATACGGAGAAGCACATAAACAAAAATAGTTTAAAAAAAAGTTCAGCATCCTTAAAAAATATTCCTTCACAATAAGCTAATTATTGTGATTTGTGTTCCTGATGCCGGTGATTTAGTCAGGTTCATAATGTGATGAACAACTCTCATACTCATTGGGTTTATGTCCTTTATGTTTACAGTAGGGTAACTGCACCTTTAAACATCTTAGTTCAGTTTCCAGACGCTATTTTGTGCATGTCTGAAGTGCCTGTATGTACAAGGTTGATTGATTATGATGATCTACTGCTGTTACTAATTTGTTTCCCATTTCCGATTGGCTTTTACTTTTTACAGCTTTGAGCAGTAATTCAGTCCCCTACGCCTCCCTGATTGGCTCTGTGTCCTCCCTCTCTAGCCAAACTACCACTCAGTCCTTATATGATAATAACTCTCTCCCACGATTCGCTCGAAAAGGTCTAAACATCTTTGTCTCTATTATTTTCTCTGTTCAAGCACTGTATTAGATGTACATCAGTCCACCTCCATTTCTGGATCAATCTAGAGTTTTCCTGTGCCTTTTCACTCACATACTTTCCATAGGGGTGCTTGATCTGGATCAATTGGTGTAATTATTAGATGACTGTCACCCACATTCGTTTTGAGAGTAGCCAAGTCCTAAATTAAATTTCTAAGAAAATGGGAGACAAGCAGAACTGCATCAAATAAATTAATACTGAGACTAATTTTTAATTGAAATTTATGAGGTACATCACCATTGTATCTGAATATTCAGCTTTGTTAGTTGACTGACAATTTACCTTAATACCTACTTTAAATATGTCTTACCATCACAGACATGCTATGAAGATAATATAAACTACATATATGTATAGGGTCAGAAGAACTAGGGCCATTGGACTAGGGCTGTTGGACACTGTTTTGGACTCTAGTGTGACACCTGAAATGCCAAATGATCAAAAAGAAAACAAGAATTTAAAAACAAAATTAAAGAAAAGAAAAATATGCTAATGTGACTGTGTTGTAACTACATGGTCATTTTCAGCTATGTTTAAAGGAAATGCAAGTCAACTGTCTTAGGCATGCTCTTGAAATTCATGGTGACAAAGCAAACTGCATTATTCAACATGGCTTCCAGCTTGAGCCCCCTTGAGTCATCAGTGTGTTCCCTTTGTAATTTCAAGAGATCCTGGGGTTCACTAGCTTAACTTTTTCTTGCCAGCTCTGATTTCTTCCCTAAGGCATTGAAAACTCACTTTTATTTTAGGTGTGTGATAGTATAAATCACGGAGAGAAGAATGTAAGCATTTTGGAGAAGGGTCATGAAGACTAATAGAGTGAAATATGTTCACAAATTTTTACCTGTCAAAACTTAAGCTGGCAGATGTTCTAGTTGACCCCACATCTTTTCTGTCTTTCTGTTGCCTTGCTGTCCCTGTACACACTTACACACCCATATCTGTCTCCAATTCCCAGCTTTTCTTCTTCTTTTTCATTCAACATTTTCATCAGTGGACAAAGATGTTTACACCTGAAGTAGATTGTAGGTACTCTTAGGGGTTGATAAATGGGGTTTCAGATTAAGCATATTTTAAGGTATTAGTGCAGTCAGTATGTATGTCCAGCCAAACTGTACAACCCCTGCCTCTACAATCTGCTACTTGTGAAAACATTTTTGAAGTTCTAATTGTCTGATGTCCAATGTTGTCCTCAGTGACTGCTGTCTATAAGCACTGGTGCATGTTATTCTAGTCATTCATAGTTGCATGTCAGTCACCTCAAAATTTCTTAAAATATTGAAGTTTTTCTAATTTAGTCAGAATACACAGTCAGTCTTCTAGACCTTGATGCATTATTATTAATCGTCAAGCTCTCCATTTCATTTTTTATACTTGATTTTATAAGTTAGTTTTCTGTTGGTTTGAGATTTCTTTGTTTTTTACCATTTCCTTTGCAGGTTTAGGTGTCTCCGGTTACCCTGGTAACCTTCATTATTCAAGCTTGTTTTTCTTGATTATGCATAAGTCACTTTGTTTTCTGTCAAAACACTGTTCTTTCCCCTTTAGGGCTCTTTCAGTGTCTGTTTCTCAGCTCACATTTTCTTGTCTAATTCAATAGAGTTTCCATTTCATGCAGTGCAGGAGAAGGAGTTTGAAATGACATTAAGAGTCATTACTCAAAGCAGAGGTCGACATCAGGTCTCAGTGTCTCATTTTACCATGCCTAGCTAAACTCATTGACTCATTGACTCATATCACAGTAACTCTTTCCTCTACACTAGGAATGTTAGCTTTGGGAGTATGCTTGGTGACTTCTTTTAATTTGGCTTCAGAGCTCATCTATCCAGAGCATGTCCTGCTTTGAGTAACCAAACTATTTGCCTGCTTCTCTCACATATGACATCTTTACTACTTACACATTTCTAGACATTCTAACTACTACATTTTCTAAATTTTAGAGCAGTGCTGTCACTCTGGTGTACTTTAAATTCTGTTCCTCATTCTTATTCAACAGGTATGGCCAATCATCCCCCAATACCCATCTTGGAACTTGCAGATCACATTGAAAGATTGAAAGCAAATGACAATTTGAAGTTCTCACAGGAGTATGAGGTAATTTTCCCCGTTTTCCTATTATTCAAATTGTTTTAAAGGTCATGTTTGCTATTTCCCAAGACTTTTCTCTGATATGGTGCCACGTTTATATGGTACTAAAAGGATGATAAAAAACTGTGTAAAATGACTACATAGGTGAGGTGGCTCCTTTGCTCATAAAATTCTGTTCTCTTTTTATAAGGATGAATGTCAGGCAGATTCCATGGGCATATAACTTGTAGTGTATGAATGATACAGCACTTACTTATTTTCATACACACAAACACCCATCTTCCATGCAGTTTAAAAATCCTTAGATTATTTCAGAATTTTCCTCTGTAATGTTGACAGGACACATACAGTGCAAGCTCCAAAGAAGGTTCAGTCCACTGCATTAATTTTGCATGGAATGAAAGGATTTGCAAGTGCCTGGTGTCTTTACTAATGAATCAGATTCAAGACATGTACTTTCCATCTGTCAACAATACCACTTTGTTAAATTGTGAATGATGGTCTGTAAGAGCATGAAAGGATTTAACTAGAAGAGAGTAATCATTTACAAGCCACCTTGTCAGTAACCCATGGAGCATAAAAGTATTGGTATAGTGGAGGGTCACAGCCTCTCAGGTCAGTAGTTTGTGGCTTAAGGGACATAGAGAGCTATCCATTATAGTAAATTATAGCTATTTCTTTAATGACAAAATATTGTCTATGTCAAAAAATAAGTGGATAAAGTATGCACTAAACCATTGGTAACAGAGTGTTTGTTTCGATCAGCTGTAGGCGATCCTGTCAGTGATCCAAGGATTAACAGCTTCCAGAGGGATCACTGACACAGTATTTGTTTATAGTCTGTTGTGTCACTAATCCTTTCTTAAAATCCTCCAGCACCTCGTTAGCGTGTTGGAGTAAAAGCTTGTGTTACTCTTATATTTTTAGGGACTGCAGATTTGTGCATTTGAAGGTTCATATGGGCACTGACCATGCAATAAAAAACACTGAAGATGACTTTCACATGTTGGTTTCATAGTAACATGTGACTTCATAGCACAGAAACCAAATATGTTTCCATTATATTTTAAAAGTCTTGACAGAAAATGGTAAAAGTTAATACTAAATAATATGATAAAGAACTACAATTTCTTCTTATTTAATTGAACACACTGTTCAGAAAGACCTTAAGACTGCTCTAAAAAATAATCAGATGTCAAAAGGAAAATATAGAAATTACATATATTGTAACATATAAAGAATCAGAAAGGAAAATTTGTGTAGTAGAATGTTCACCATAAAAAAGATAACGTTTGGTACAAATGTAAAAATAATTTCCTGTTGTACTATAGGCAATTCTATTTACAAGTCAGATAATGTAGTATAATTTCTAGGAAAAGAAACAATTCAGCTTCACCACATCTTGAATGTGATGTGGAGATGACATGGTTCTTTTTACACTGTAATATAACTTAAAAGTTCCCGTGGTTTATATTTTCTATTTATTATTTAAATCATTCAAATAGTTTTGGGAATTTAATTTTAATAATTTATAACCAGCATTATCAAGATACTTTAAATCATTAAATTCTGAATATCTGTCCCTCCAGAAGTTTTTCTGTTCTATGTAAACAGGAGAGCTTTCACTTTCTTCACTTTCTTTTTCTTTATTTTTTTTTTTTTCGTTTTTTTCCTTTTTTTTTTTTTAATCTGGAGCAGAAGGATCAGACATTCTGAATTAAAATATGGGCACCTGTGGGTCAACACCAAGCTTCATTCATATTGTTTTTCCCAAGAGGGTTCAACTTTCTATTTCAGGATATCTTTGAAATCCCAGCTTTAGAGATACCACTTCATTTCCACCTAGTCAAAGATTCATCCATTTTGAAACAGAACTAGTGAAAAGCACTGCTATTTGGTTTCATAGTCTAGCCTAGGCAGTGGACTAAGGCTGCAGTTTGATGATGACTGTAAGTCATCTCCCTGTCTTGGCTGTGCATTCCTGTTGTCTCTCTTGTGCCAGTCTTGGCAGTAGCACATGTGCAGCTGTTCAAGGATTATCTCAGGAAATAGATTCAGCTGAAAACTAATTGTTTTATTTTTCTTTACTGTTTTCAGTTGGATCAGTTCCCTGAACTAGCTCACCACGTCTGCTTGAGCTCTAGTGCCAGCACAAGTGAGCTGGTGGGTACATTTGTGGTCAGAGATTGAGACCTTCTATTTCAGCAGCAGTTCTCACTAACATCCCTAAAAAACAACTATTTGATTGTAAGGTAGAAATAGGTGCAGATGGTAACTGTTCAGTTATTATTGCTTCAGATAACATTTGAACTGATGACACAGGAGGAAAAAGATGTTTTTTTCATCTTCAGAAGGTAAAGGTGTAACATGCAGCAGGAAACTGCTGACCATTATTGATACCAGCAGATACAATTAATTCACATTTAGGGAAGCAAACAGTTTTCATCAATTACCACTGATGATTTTTTTTTGTTTTATATCATGCCCTTTCCTCCCTGGCATTCAAATATTTTATTTTACTTTTTGCTTACATTGCATGGATGAAATTCTTCAAAATTAGACTGATAGTGTGCAACAACTGTTAAGACAACTTTGTGATACCATAAAATAAAATCCTATATTAACAGTTTCCTGATGAACACTGAGTTCTTGCCCTCTTTCAGGAGGTTAGATCCATTTAAAAAGGATATTAATTTTTTAGCATACCGTACTTCGGTTGCCACTTCAAGAGCATTACTTGTTTCACAACTCAAACACATCTTTTCATATTCTAAGCTCCCTTTTCAGCTCTTCAGAAGTATTTAAATACTTGCCTCTCTTCCATCTTTGCTCTTATTCCAGCCACTTATTTTTGATTAGAATTTCTGATCAAAATTTAATTCAATTTTTTTTTTCTCCTTTTGGATAGAGTATCACTTCCTTGCCTATTCCCACTTTCTCTTCAGGCAGACCTGTCTCTTCATAACTACCAAAACAGTGTCCTCTGCTGATTTATACCCTCTGGCACCATCTTCTAATGAAACCCTCTAACTTCCTTGCAGTCCTGTGAAGGTGAAGGATGAGACAGGACAGGATTGCTTTCTTCAGATACTCCCAAACCGAACCCACTGTTCTTCATTCCTCTGACACAAGGCTTCACAAACAGGGTGTTCCTGGTGTGAGATTTTTTGTGTTGTTGGATTTTTTATTCCCTTTTTTTAATTTCTTAGAGTATGTTCCTGTCATGCTATGTGAAATCTAGTTGAGAAAGAATCTGAAATTGCCATTAAAGAAATAAGTCCAAACTACGTTCCTGTGCACTCTGTTTCTGCAAGGAACATCTAGGGTAATGCAGCCAGTTGGGAAACAAGTATTGCAAAAAAGTAAGTAGCAATATGCATGGTATAAACTATATATTCTCCGGAAAAAAAAAAAAAAAAAAAAAAAAAAAAAAAAAAAAAAAAAAAAAAGAGAGAAGGGAAAGAGTAGAATTCCTTCACTGCTATGATCTGGTAAAGGGAGTATTCTCCAGTGTAAAACACCTTCTAGCTATGTAATATTTTTTGAGGTTTGATGTCATCAACTGGACAAGTTTATTTTTCTACACATCTTCAGAAACTATTTCATAGTGTCTCTTCAGGGCATCTCCTATCCCAGCTCTCACAATATATGATGATAACAGTGGAGATTTCTTCCATTATACTTCTCCCACAGCTTCACCTTGAGTACCAGTTTTTATGGGACAACAGGGGCCTGAAAAATTATGACTGCTGCAAGATTTAAATAAACGTACAATTCACCTGTTGGATTAAATGGTTCTGTTACTTCAAAATAATTTTTTCATAATCCATCATTAATTTTTTGTTGGCTTGCAATCCCCAAGCCTAAACAAAATGTTGATTCACTGTGCTAACATGACATACCATTTATGTCACAGAGTTCTTTTGTGTTCTCTAATTTAAAGACAAGGTTGACCCCAGCTGATGATTATGAAGCATTTTGCTGACTTTGGCAATTTCAGTGGGATTTTATGTAATGGAAGGCTCCATATGGACTTAACAGCTGCTGAGCAAAAAGCTGTATTCACAAGAGTCTGACCTTTACATTGTATCTCCTTCTTAACTCAGGCTTCAGAAATTTAAAAACAAGAAGTGGTCATGGAGAGAGACTGAATAAGAACACTAATGTTCTGCCTACTCTATGCCATACACTAAATGTGTTTGTAAAATCACCTCCTTCTGTGAGACAGAACAGAAACTCTAATTCTCCAAAGTAGGTTTCTGAGACTTGTGTAAAATAATTTAACATTTCTTACCGGAGGTCTGTAGTTACAGTTTTACACCTTTAAGAATGTAGATTCAAATTCACACTATTTTTGTGTGAAAACCTGTTGATGCAACACCAAAATTACACTAACTTTCTGTATGTTTTATTTTAGGATTTACTGTGGATGTACGTACATGTGCACTGGTAACAATACAATAAGTTTTACATAATTTAATGTTTTCTCTCAACAGATTTCTTTTGTAAATTAGAGACAGTCTTTTGCTTTAATGCTGACTATTGGAAAACATGTAGCTTTTCAAAGTCAGTTGGTAGGACTTGTGATGAGAAAACAGTTTACTGAATACGGTATATTTCTCTTTTTGTTCCTCAAAGTGCAACAACACAAACACCACATACTAGAACACAGTAAATCTTGTATAGTAGAAGCAAATATAAAACTTACACTTTGAAAGTCCAGGAAGAACAGATAATCCACTGAATGAATTTCTACCAAAGAAACAACTGTACTTATCTGCTATATCATTGTAGATAATAGTGACTCGTGCAAAAATCAATTTTTTTTCTTAGCAAAAATGTGTTTTCTGTTGCTTATCTTTACATTAGTTTCCCCTTTCTAATGTTACAAACATCACTTATTGGTATTCTGTAACTTTACTTTCATAGGATGTGCTCCATTTATTGAGAAACAATTTGTGTAGTCAGTGAACAATGAAAAGTTTTCTTATTAATAGCACAGTGCT